CTGGGACCTAGAACTTGTCTGGAAGCGGACGCGGCTGAGGTGCATGGTGTACTCGTCGCTCGGTGACATGGAAGAGGAAGACGAAGACTACTACATGGAGCAGGAAAATCTGAAGCCTGCCATGGACGAGCGCGGCCCCGAAGTCATCTCCCCTGCGGTCGCTATTTTCTTGACGTCAATCCTCGAGTACATGGGCGAACAAGCCCTAGTCATTGCTGGCCAAGCTGCGTACCACCGTCTACGAGCGAAATTCGAAAAGGAGCCCAAGGAGGGCGTAAAGAGCATTGCCGATATTGCTGACAGGATCGTGGTTGAGGAGCTGGACATGGAACGGGTCGCACTTGACAGGACTCTCGGCAGACTTTGGCGGGCATGGAAGAAGAGGCTGCGCTCTCCGACTCTGGAATCGCGCCCCTTTTCGCGCAATTCTTCCGGTCATCCCAGACAGTCCAGTACTCCGGAGGCCCGCGAGACCGCGCTCCCTGCAAAGGGCCTCGGAATCCAAGAAGCCCCAATTGAGGAACCCGAGATCGACGACGTAGAGGAATACTTGAAAGCATCGGCTATCCCTCTGCCGATTGGGGATCGCGATGTTGATGAGATCGAGGTACCGGGATTGACTTCCTACAGCGACGACGAGGAGTCGGACTATGAAGGTGCAGACGAGCCGGCGGCACAACGGCCGAAGAGTCTGATGATCTTTACTTCCCAGCCCAGCAATGATTTACCCACCCCGACAATGTCTCAACCTCACACGCCAACTGCTCCCTCGACTCGCAAGCGCTCAAATTCCTTGCCGACCCCGTCGCCCTCCCCTTACACTTCACCAATTGTCAAACGCACCCGGGCTGAGCCAATTGAGACTGGTTTGGTCGATGAGCAAGCCGGAATTACAGAGAAGGAAATCTCTACAGAGGCTGTGGAAGCCCAGCCAACCGAGACGCCGCCAACCCCAGACGAGGCCACTAAGCCGATCGTAGAGCAAGGGCCAGCTGAGACTCGGGAAGAAGAGTCAAAGCCAGTCTCTGATGAAGCCCCTAAGCCCAAGCCTCGCAACCCCAATCGCATCTCACAAATCGTCACCCCTGCCGTCGCGACCGCGGCAACCGCAGCGACCACAGTTCCTGTTGCTTCGACAGTCAAGGCACCACAGAAGGAGACTCGATCAACAGAAGAAAGTGGCGATATTGATGATTTCACCGAGGAACCAGAGATCTGCACCTCCTCTCGAGTTTCCATCGCTGGCCGTAGCTCTCCGAGCATTTCCGACTCCGGCAAACCTGTTGTGGTCGCTCCCAAGCTATTGCAGAGAACACCCAGCGTCCACTCGGCTCGCGTTGTTGATGTTCACGGGCCTAAGAGCCCTGTGACCGGCTCGAGAGCGTCCTCGGTTGACGCTTCTGACCGCTCTCAGCAGGCCAGCCTCTCCCGTGCCAACAGTGTTTCTCGCGTAACGCCACCCATCATCGAGGAGAAGCCGAAGCCCAAGCCAGTAGAGATTGAAACCATTATTCGGTCATCAACTTCAACACCGCGTACTCGGTCTCCCGTTGAGAAGTTGTCTCGCAGACAAAACACGAACGAGTCCATCTCAGAAGTTGACGAGGATGCCCAAGCTCAACCTTCACGGCTAACATCGGCTGCGTCAACTCCAACGCCCACAGCCGGTACTCCTGCAACCAGGCCTTCTCAGGCCATTTTCAATTCTTCCCAACGCACAGGGTCACCTCGTCACGATCACAATTCATCCGCCACCAAAGTCACCATCTTGAGGGATACGCACAATAACGGGCCTATCGCCGAGGAACCTTCGCCACGCCATCGCTCTCACGCGACGCCAACCTTGCCTGACCGCAGTGGTGGTCTGTCGGCCAACGGAACTCACTCCCCAGCGGCGAGCATCGGGGTCGTGACTGTTGAGCGATCTGCTGCTGCTGGACGGGACTCCCCCGATCGTCCCAGGCATCTGCGAACCTCCGGCTCCTCTGGCTCTTCGAGCACGGGCAAGATCAGAGCCGTCAGGACTTCCGAAGATAGCAAGGCTTCCGGCCGTGCCGATAATCTCGCTCGTAACTTTGAGGAGCTCATTCAGAGTGACCAGACCATTCAGTACACGCTTACGCCGGAGAGCATGCGTGACATTGATGTGAGTTGTGTGTCTTAATTGCCTCTATTGCATCCACTAATGGTCGTGTAGGGAAACCGTGCACAGAGCGCAAGCCCGGTAGTTGGACCCAAGTCGAGGAGAAGCGAAGACGCCCGCACGGCCTTGAACGGCGAACGTAACAGATCTGTCTCTGGAATCGACATCCGAAGGACCATGTCTGTCAGCCGCGCAACCGGCTTGAACTCGCACCCACCCGAAGCCAAGAACAAAGGCTTCGTCCCGAAGGCACCTCCTAGTACAACCCTCAATCGGTCGCGTACCGGCGGTCCACAGGCGAGAGATGCTCGGGTACCCCGCGACACTGCGATGAACGACTTTGCCGACTTCATCAGGTCTACCGGCCCGACAGCTGACAACGGTCCTGCGCCCCTACGGAACGTAAGCGGCCCACCGCCGCCTGTAAAACACAGCTTGGATTCGAGACGCATCTCGTCATCGAACAACCGGCCACGACTACAAGCGCGGGATGCTGCCGTCGACAATCGCGAGGATAACTCGGACCTAATCGACTTTATCCGACGAGGGCCGCCTAGCTCGAGCAATCCCCGGATTCCTCGAACAGTGGCTCCGTTCCGGACAACAATGGATTCTGACCAGATGTCGGGTGCTGTGGGTGGCAAAGCTGTTGATGCCAGCTTGCCAGACATTCGATACAGTCAAGCGTCGACCAACGTGACGGATATCACCCAGCCCTCTGTACAGTCGTCGATCAACTCACAGAGCGCTCTTCTCAAGAACCGTCCCAGTGGTAACGGCTTTGACGACGACGAAATGATGCCCAAGCGCACGAGACGTCGCGTGCGCGATCCGTATGCCATCGACCTTAGTGATGAAGATGAGGAGGATTACGCGCAAGCCGTTCGACCTCCCCCCAAGAAGGAAGAGAGCCTGGCAGACTTCTTGAAGAACTACTCGCCGCCGCCTGAACCTGCCGCGGCCCCTCATAACGTCCCCAAGAGGAAGGCGAGTGCTCCTAGTCTCATCGGACGCTTTTCCAGAAAGGACAGCAGCGCGGGATCAAACAACGCAAAGCCAGCCAAGGTCGACAGCCGGTCCTTAAACAGCCGCGCTGGAGGTGCCCATGGTCACGTTCCAATCCAAGTCAACGCTCCTGGCCAGGACAAGTACGGGGCTGCTGACGCTACTGCCGGCCGTGGAGCCATGCATTCCTCAGGACGCGTGCCGATGAAGAAGTTCGAGCCAAGGGAGGCCGTTTCGTCCACGAGCCGCACCAACGACCTGGCCTCATTCCTTCGCAGCTCCGAGCCGCCACAGATGACGCCTGCGGCCCGTGCCGCTACCGGAGAGCCTCAGCAACAAAGCAGCGGTAGCAGCTTTTCCAAGATGTTTAGTCGCCGGAAGAAGTCGAGCTTGGCTTAGTTGCCCAAGCCGCGCCGGCGCGGAGCCACGACCTGAACGAAGATCACGACCTCTCCATCAAATATGGAGAAAATTACAACAACCATATAGCACCTGTTCATCATATTGTCATGCAAGAAATCTGTCACCTGGTCATGGTTGTACCGAGGGGAAAATTCGGCACACAGCCGAGCCCGGATTACTCTGTTTGGTTCTTACTTTTTGTTTCTACACACTTGTGCCTCGCGCCCTATGTTTTGATACCACTCTTCCCAAAAAGATGGGATAGGATTTTGTTCATGTCTTGAGCGGTCTCGACGAAGGACCCTTAGGTAGTCTTTGGCATCGTTTTCTTTGGATAATAGGACCCCTGATGGCCTCTTGACAGTTCACATGGGCAGTGGAAGACGAGTCTGGAAGCATAGTTAGATGCGCAAAAGCGGTCAACAATACAAAATATGCTCCTCCTCAAATATCGTTTACTCATGGCTCGGGATCGAGGTTTGGCAAGTCAAAGGACAACTGACCCCTACAGAGTAGATACTGGCGGCTGCCATGGCAGGGTATGTAAGGGTGGGTGGTGGGCCCTATCCGAAGACTCGATAGTCTTCAACATGGTGCTAATCATGCACTTGACGACTGGCAGGCCGGGGGGTGACCTGAAGCGGTTGGATCCCATTGGCCCCAGCTTGCTTGAGTCCATTTGGACCGCTGCGGGAGGGTTACACTGACGAATTGCCAGTACCGGACGTCTGTCTCCATTGGTAAGTTCTGCAACGTAGACAGGACGAATACTCAATACAAGCGAGCGATGTCGCGGAACAGCGGAGCGTTTCTATGGTCTAGTGTACGAAGCCACAGCCCTCCCCCATGTTCCGCCGAATTAATGGGGAGTTCGTTCCCACTATGGAGTACAAAACGGTAAGGTTCCTCTCTCTCCCGCTGCCACACGTATTGGGCACGTTAGAGGTCCAGGACTCACGCCCCCAGGACTCGTACGGCATATAGGCGGGACTAGCCCATTTCTTTTTTGTCGTGTCTACGGTTACAAGCTACGACTATTCCCAATAACCACAAATCATGGCTGAACCCTCTTCCGCCGTCCCGCTAGCTACCACCACCACCGCTGCTGCTAGCCCCGCACCGGGAACGGCTCCGGCTGCAGTGCCAGCTCCGGGGGCCAACGGCAACGACAACGACCCGCCCAGCCCGGCACCGGCGCCCCTCGAACCTGATGAGGATGAAGGCAACGTTCGTTTCTCCTTTTGTCCTTGAATCATTCTCACCATCGGTTTTCACGAAATGTGAGACATAAGGAAGGAAGCTGACTGCTCGCCATCGGGGATTTAGTTTACGGAGGGTTCTTCTACGGCGGACGACCGCATGTGCGTAACATCCTGGCTCCTCTGCAGCTCGTTTCCAATGGAGCTGCCTTTTACTTTCTCAATCCATGGTCTTACCCTTTTACTAAATCATGCCTCCGTTTCTGGGGTAGCTCGAGTTATACCGCCTCGTTATCCTCGAGTGTCGTAGACTACCCCATCGAATACGGACGTCGCTATCATGCTTTCCGACCAGGATGTTAGTATTCACTATTGGAACTTTCTCTCACTTTAAGTCACTTCACATCTCTCTCTAACAAAGACTTCCATGTGTAGCGTACAAATTCCCTAATGATGAGGTACTAAGAAAGCAAAGCCCCTCATCCATATATTTGAGCAGAGCCGTTAGCTGATTTCTCTTTAGTCTGAAATGGACAGGCTCGATTTGGCCCATGCGATGATGGTCAAGGCGATTGGCAGCAGGCTGTATAATGCGCCACTGGAGAAGGAAAAGGTGCAGAGGATTCTTGATATTGGCACGGGGACTGGACTTTGTATGTCATGAACCCCTCCCCCGCCCTCTACTCTTCTCCGTTTATGAAGCTTGCTTCTGGTAATCAGAAAGGCTTTCTTATGGTAAGGGGTTGTCGTTGGGATCTTCCTTGCTGACTTTGGACGTTGCGTTGAAGGGGCCGTGGAAATGGGCGACGTCTTTGAGAACGCAGAGGTAAAATACCCGGTCTACTGCCACAAAGTGTTCCAGCATTCGGTAGGAGGATTCGTTGTAGATTACTGACGAGGAGGTTAGGTTCTCGGCATTGATCTGAGTCCCATCCAGCCGGAATGGTACGATGCCACCCCCTTCCCATCCTCCCTAGAATTTAACATCAACACCTCATGATCACGGGAGAGTGTGAGCGCCCCCTTTGACTAACATAATTCAAAAGGGTTCCCCCAAACGTCAAATTCGAAATCGACGACATCGAAAGCCCGTGGGTCGACAACAGAAAATACGACTTCATCATGTGCCGGTACATGGTCGCCTCCATCAAGGACTGGCCCGGTCTGATCAAGAACATCTTTGAGTACGCTGTTACCTTTCCTCTCGTTCTGTCTTCCATCCTCGCGGAGTATGGACAGGCTCTCCTACTCTTACCAGAATTGACTGACACCAAATGTCAACAAAACAGCCACCTAAACCCAGGAGGCTGGGTCGAGTTCCAAGACGTAAACACACAATTCTACTCCGACGACGACACCTTCTCCAAAGACTCCGCCACCGCCCGCTGGATGGCCGGCTTCGCGACCGCCTGTAAAGGAATGGGCCGCGACACCGACGTCGCACCGACCCTCGCCTCCCTCTTGCGCGAAGGCGGCTTCCCCTCGGAACTCGTCCACGCCCGCCGCATCAAGGCGCCGCTGGGCCCCTGGGCAAAAGACCAGTTCTACAAGGACCTGGGCATGATGAACCTGATCCTCACGATTGACGGACTCGAGGCGCTCTCGCTGAAGTTGTTTGCGGAGCTGTTGGGGCGCACGCAGGAGGAGATTCTGGTGGAGACCGCTGCTGTGAGGAAGGAGTTGAAGACGGGTGCTTTTGGGGCTTTTCACGCCATGTTTGATATGTGAGTTTGATCTTTTTTGTCTCTTCTCCCTCCCTCGTAATGATTGTTGCTAATGGATTCTTCAGTTACAACGTGTATGCGCAGAAGCCGTTGGAGACGGAAGATACTACTCAGTGAGCCTAGCATGTCCTCGGAATCCTGTAGTCCTAGACAAAACGGCAACAGTAGTTTCAGACGTGACGGTGATCTTCCTCGTTCAAATCTCAAAATAGTTGTTTGTTGAGCGACAAGTGATCCGAAACTTTGACTTTTAATCGCTCGCATTGTTGTGTTGTCTCTTGTAACGCCATGCTCCAAGTCCAAGGAAACGAAGATGTACAGCATCTTGGACCACGTGTGCTCTTCGGGCCAAGGAGCAGCAAATGGCAGGCAAGGTAAGGCAAGGAGAAAAGGATCGAGAGACAAATTGGCTTACACCCAGGTACTAAGTGTACGAGCTTTACTCATTTCATCAATGCGTACTACTACTGCGTATTCATCGCGAGGTAGACTACGATAAACCAGAACAATCGCAAAACATTCCCTTTGGCATGTGCCCCTTCGAAACCCAACTCCAACATCGGTTTCCCTATCGCTAAACAAGTCGCTGCCATACGACCGTCGCAGGAACCTCACGAAACCCAAGAAACTCCTAATTTAATCCATTTGTCACCCGCGGCCGCTCCATTCGAATCCTGTCTGCCATCCAGGACCGATAACCGCATGCACCGAGTTACCCTTGAACCCTCCGTTTGGTACTATTTCCTAGCCAGCGCCACCTGGCGAGAAAGCATGAGGGTATCGCCGCCGCCATTCGAAACCGTAGGAAAGAAGCGCAAAAACAAACATGCAAAACTAGTCGCCAGCGTACAAGTCCGAGGACAAGGAAAAGCACAGAGAAGAAAATACGAGAAACAAACTGTAAAAGTAGTTAATAAAAATAAAGTCAAGGTAAAGTCATTGGATCTGGGCCGTTGGAGTGTGCTCATGTTGCGAAACAATCGTGACAACTCCACAGGAGAGGAGCTGTCGTGACTCAGCGATTGGGCGGAGCCGATAAGTGGTGTTGAATCAGTGACCCCATTTCGTCATCATGGCTCTGATAGCATCAGCTGATAAACTCAGAGAAACGAGAGACCCATCAGCTCTCACAGCGATGAAACGGGGTAGCGAGAAGAGGTCATGCGCCAGTGTGGAGTGGCCCTCTTTAGATCTCCATGTGGGCCACGACATCCTCACTCATCCGCCGTACCGGGCTCTTCCGGTCAGACAGGCTCTCGTCGTCGTCCTCTTCGTCGTAGTAGAAACGCTCCTCGGTGTAGTCGTCATCAGAAAACGGGACCAAATCGCCATCGGCACCCCGATTCCAGAGGAAGCCGTCGCTTTGTTCTTCGTCATCTTCGGACGGTGCCACAACTTCAGCGTCGCGGTCTCCTAGCCAGTATTTGGCGCGCTTGTTGCCGGCCAGTGCATCGAACTGGGTACTCCGCGTCCGCTTGACGGAACCCGGAAGCGCCGGTTGCAGACGCGGTGATTGTGACGATACGACCGGGACAACACGAACGTAGAGGTAGGCGACTCGTTTCAACGCGCGGTTGAAAAAGAAGTAGTGAGCAGCCCAAATTGCAGACTCATCTTCCTCGAAAGGGTCGACCTCCGGATTGTAGCTGAAGACGGTGCATTCGTTAAGGCGCATCTCCTTATCAATTTTGGACCAGCATTGTGGGCCCCACACTGGCTTGGTCTCCGAAGACGTGGCCTGCTCGACTGGTCGTGCCTCAACATGCGGTCTGACATTCTGCAGGATTGAATCGAGGTTTCCCATCACTCTTCGCAGGTTTCTTTCTTTCTTGAAGTCGCCTGGCCTCAAAACGTGCGAGAAATCGTAGTGTTGATGACTCGCGTTCAGTGTCGCAATCAGATAAGCAAATGTCCGGCGACTCGCGAGCTCTGATAAGGGGCCGAACGCGCTCGAGTGTGAGAACATTTGCATGTTGGGAGATGTTGCCAGCATGGCTTCGCGGTCTGGCGGTGACAGGCTTGCGCCCAATTTGAGGAGCGCGGCATGTTGTGAACTAAGGTCTTTGTCGATGTTCTTGTAAAGCTTCTTATCGGAACCTGTGGATTTGGTCGTGTAGAGGTCGCATCCGCCAGTCACGTTGCAATCTGGTGTGTTGAAGTTAAGAGCGCCAGTGACGGCGTCGAAATCTTGCAGTGGGAGATACTGCGAGCTGGGTTAGCAGGTGTCATGGACTGCTGCAAAGGAGCATGCCTGCTGCAGCAAGTTATGCGCACCTTCATCTTGGATGATTGAGGTTCGGCCTGGGAGACCAAGGTGGAATGTAGGCTGGTTAGGATATGTTCCGGATTGGCGCGCAATAGTCGTGTAGATCGCGAGCGCTTCAACTGTTATATTGGCGATGCAGGGAGCTTATCGCCGGTATCGCGCCGTAATCAGGTTGTTGTGATGGAGCCGTTGGATTCCGGAGGTTGACGTGACTAAATGATGTCACAGGAGTTGGAAGTCGCGCCGGACCGGAATAGGGGTGTCTGCGGGTATCGGAATAGCGGTGACTCGGAATCGAGGGTATGGCCAAGTAAAAGGGGAGTCGACGCGATAAATCGCATGCGATGCGTCGCAGTGAATGATGATGAATCGGTGTGAAGACTGTTGTCTGTGTGTATCGATGGAAGCCGGAGCCTGCCTGCTTTAGATAAGGCAAGGAAGGAGCGACTCGACCGTGTAGATCAATTTGGTTCTGATGGATGAACGGAGACTAGACGCGTTGCGCCTAGTAGGTGATCTGGTCGACAGACATTACTAAAAGACGGATGTTGTAGAGAGGTATGTGTGTGTTGAAAGTTGAATGATGGTAGGGTGGTCGAAGCAGAGGGGTAAAAAGGGAAGGGAGGGATGGGGTGACGAAGGACGGGTGTTTAAGACGACCTGACGAAGCGGGAGTGAGCGGGAAGGGAGCTGGGCGGGCACTCGGTGCTGTCGCAGCTCTCGGCAGGTGCGAGGACTCGCCGGTGTGAGAGGTGACGCCTTCCTGGGTGCGTGGTGGTCTGCCACTCACCTCTCTGGCTGCGTGGTCCGTGGTGTGCTGGCCGCTGTCTGTTGCTGCTATTGCTGCTGCTGCTGCTGCTTGCTGGGTCCTGGATCACGTCTCCGTTGTTCCCCGTACCCGCTGACAAGGCCCCCGCCCCGGTGGAGCAGGGAGAATGGGTAGCTGCCGTGAGGTAAGGCAGTGTTAGGTGGTGGGCCAGTTCCAAGATAGGAACAGATAGTGGGTGGAGCCAACGGGGAGTCTGTGACAAAGCATATCTTGCGCTGTTCCAGCATGTCCGCTTTCTGGTGCTGGACTGCCGTATCGCATTGTGACCGCCTGCTTCGTTCTTGACACCGGATTCGCGGGTGTGGGGGAGACACCAGCTGGGAAGTCGGGGTCCAGTCCCTGTCTGTTCCCTGCTTGTTGGGGGGAAGGGCCCCCTTCGCGGCCTTCGGAAACCCACCCAGCAACTCTGTCCAATCCGCCGCGTATAAGGAGGCGGGGCGCAGCCGGTAATGTCCAAGCGAATGAAAGGGCGTCAAGAGGCCACGAGCGACGACTCCAAGCCCGTCTCGCAAAATGACTTCATGTTGTCTCTGGGCAATGAAGACTGGCGTTTGGTTGCGTATCGGAATGCTCTTCTATTTGTCAATTGTTACGTGTTTCCCGTGTAATGCAGTGGTGCTCCATTGTCGTCGTCCCTCTTGGCCCCGTGCCCAGCTCATGCATCGTTTCTGGGGGGAAACTCAAGATGGACAACCGATGTGGATTCAACCAAGCAACAAGCACCGCTATCTCATGTTCATCTCTTGATGTAGTAGAGGGCGGTTTTCCGCCCTCAAAGATCTATGCACACAAAGGGCCACCCGGGGATTATTCCCGTCCATAACAGCATCGGCGCACCGTATCCTCATTGTCGCGTGTCGGCCTCTTGATTTCCGGCCTGCAGTGTATCCGAAAGCCATGACGGGTCGTCAAAGGATGCCAACCTCTTTGAGGGAAGATGTAATCTCTTCCGTTTCCTGCATACGCGGCGAGAGCGCCTATTAGCCAACAGACTCATCAATGGCATGCTCTCCTTGCGGCTCGTGCAACACTTGTATAGATGTCGTAGATTGGCTTCGAGGCTCGATTTATCACGGGCTTCGTGTCTCAATCTAGCAGATAGGTACACATTAGAGGAGGGTTACATGATCTTTGTAACCTCGTCCTCGACCTGATGGGGAGTAGGAAAATCGTCAGCGCAAGACTTCGCCAATGGCGCAGCTGCAGTTCGTCGTCTTGAAGGCAGAGAAACAAGTAAACAGTAAAGCATCAACTAAACGTACCTCCATGTCCTCGAGCGAATCCTGCTGGGATATACACCGCAGCACATTCTTTTTACTGCTTTCTTGTAGTTCTCCCGCCAATAATAGCTCGTCCAAGATGTAGTAGGCTTTCGTAAAGGAGAAGATGATATCTAGCTCGCAGACGTTACCATAGTACTTGTCCATCTGCTCGACGTAGCGATGGATGATCTCGAGGGTAATAAGTTCGTTATCTTCTGACGCCGCTCCTGCGATAAAGAATAGCGACGCATATCTGCGGTAAACGATCTTGGAATCTGGCGGCAAGAAGTCAGTGACTGTCGACGGGCGAAGTGGCCGGGTTTCGAAGGCGACTGACCCTTGTACTCGAGGAAGTTGCACATGCGGGTTCTACGGGCGAGGACCAGCTGAGAAACGTCCTTGACGATCTTGGCCTTTTCCTTGGGTGACAGGGTGGTGAACCATTTTGCGAGGCGCTGCAGAGGGATCGTGATCAGTAAAGGGATGTTCGAGGGGGGTCCGGGTAGCGATGGGCGCGTACCACTTTGCCCTGGCGCGAGAGGAGGATGAGGTATCTAGTTTGAATTAGTCTTCTTGCCTTGATGCACTATCAGATGCGGCCGAGGGGTAACCACATACTGGATAGCCATGATGATGCCTTCACATCACCACCACAAGGTGGGCAGAGAAGGAGATGGAGATTGAATTGAGAGGAGCGTTGTGGACCTTGAGTTGATGTCGTAGGACGTGTCCGGTGCTGTGGTAGTCGAACAAATCAAACCCAGCGCTGGATTACGGTTGGCGACGATATGCGGTCTGTTGCGTGTGACGATACCCCCTAGGTCACGTCAGGCTGATAGGCGCAAGGTGTCGAGTTTGGCCGCAGGTGTACCTCGAGCTTGAGGCTGCGGTATCCTCAGGCAGTGGGTACCTAGCAGGCGACACCTGGTGACGGCAGGTTTGGAAAGCTTGAGGTGACGCCCGGTCCAGGGAGCTCTGGCTTACGTAAGGTGGTAACACAGCGAAGCGCTATGAGAGGGATTTGACAGTGGAAGGGCCGCTGTAAAAGCTCCGTCAACTTTGGCTGGAAAAGCCCACTATCTCGTTCGGATTGGCCAAGGGCCCTCTATCTTCAGCAGACATTGTCCATGTGTGTACGCCACCTGGACTGCCGTGCCCAACGGAATAAGGACCACTCTTTCATTGATGCTGGCTTTGTGCGACTCGAGATTGAAGTCTTTGAATGCCGGTAATGGTGTGGTGATGGGAATGACAAAAACAGAGACAGTGGATGAGCGATTCATGCCGACAACGGCGTCTCATAGGCCATCGTCAGTGTTGCGGACCTGCGGAAGCCTGCGGAAGGTGCGGACAAATCACTCCAGGGCGCTGACGCGATGGGCAAAACCCCCACCAAGTGCCTTTGACCTGCCCCCCGGAGTCGCGCTCCTGCCGAATTTGCGGCGGGATGAGGGGTGGATGGCGGGATGTGGTCGGTGCCCGGATGGAAGTTGCGAGGCAGGAAACGCCGTTGCCGCAGGATCGAAGATGAATGATTTCCACGGATGCCTTGACACCTACTCGGACGACTCGATTCAGTCGGCACGCTGAGACGGACTTGGATGAGAATTTCTCTTTCATTTCCCGTCCTGTTGTTAAAATGAAGGCTAGCCCAGTCCTCCGCCCTCTTCCCCCAAGCCTTCCCCCTCCACCCTCTACTACGTAGGTATTCCACGAGATCCAAAATCACAACTCCACGGAGACCTAGAGAATAAACACCACCATCGATCCACATCCACCCGCGGGTCCCATCCTAGGAGAGTCTCGCGCGTACTTCTAGAACCCATCCCCGCCTACCACCGTCCCGCTCACTGCATACACTGCATATCACGACTGTTCCTCGTACCATACCTACAGATACAGACTACTACTCCATCTCATACGCCCTTTATCTCCGATTTTGGCGGTCTCGACACACACAAGCCGACATTCGCCTGCCGTGCGCCAACGATTAATAATTACCCCGTCTCACCTTTGAACCCAAGCGGACCGTACCTTTCCTTATCGGCCCCTCGACCTGATTCCGATTGTTAATCACCCCTCCAAAGTCTAAAAATCGACAGGCACCAAAAAAAAAAAAAAGTCCCTGAAGACTGGAACGCCCTCACTTCTACATTGCGCAATCAGGACCCTTGACGTCGCAATCTTTTCTCGACTACCAATCCATTGCATCTGATCTTGGGCTATTATATCGTGATTCTTACCTTACCTACTACCATTGTCAATATCGCCATGACGAAACTCATTCTCTCCACTGGGTTTGTCACACCTTTGATTGATTCCCACCAAAGAATCGTTCCTCGCGCTCTGATGCTGATTGGCGATCTTCCGTTGCATGCAGAAACATTGTCTCGGGCGGCCCCTCCATAATCCGCAAACCGGGAGCCTACAGATCGAACCTTGAACTCACCAACTCGCTGCGAAGCAACTTCCTCGCTGCCCAGCAGGACTACTCGCCTTACGAAGAATCTTCTCCCATCGATGACGATGACGAACCCGTGAATGGAAACGGTTTGAACGGCCACTCCAATGGCTTCTCACACAGCTCGAACGGCCGCCGGCCTCGCATCGACGTGTGGACCGCCCGCGAGGACGATGCGCTCTTCATCCCGCGGATAGACTGGTCCTACTCTGGACTGCAAGAAGAGCCCGACAACTACGACGTTACCGTGAAGCTATTTTTCCTCCCTAATGCCGCTGCGCAAGAACGGGCCCAGTACGTGCAGGACGCCTTGAACCTCGTGCGAAAGGAGCTGGGGGTCACGAGGATCGACCTTCTTATCGCATCCTTCCCGGGCATGTCATTTGAGGGCGACTGCGAATGGGAAGCCGACAAGCGCAATGCCTCTCAGGGCAACATTGACGAGGAGGCTGCGACATGGACGGTACTTGAGGATCTGTACAAGCGTGGGGAGGTCAAGGCCCTCGGCATCTCCGAGTTCGGCACTGAGAAGCTGGCCAAGTTTATCAAAAAGGTCAGCGTCCGGCCGGCCGTCGACCAGATTAACATCAAGGATTGCTGCAGCGTTCCCCCCACGCTGGTCAAGCTGGCCAAGACGGAGGGCGTCGAATTGCTCGTCCACACCGATTGCACCGACATCTTGCCCAGAGGCACCCTCCGTGAGCTCCTCGGTCACGGGCTGCAGGGCGCTGGCGTCCTCGCTGACCCTGCCGAGGCCCAGGAGGGTCTGGAAGGCGACCTCACACCTGAGTGGGTAGTCAAGTACACTGCCTTTGTCAAAGACCGGGGTGTTATCGAGAATAAGGGGTACTTTGCCGGCGCCGAGCTCGTCGAGACCTTTTAGTAGACGTTGTCTACCATGCTTTTGGCTACATGATTTAATTTTTTTGATACCATGGCTGAACAATACGGCCTATAGATATACACTGCATAGCGTTTCTGATGTCTGGCGATCCAGGGTCTCTTTGACGGATTATACGAAGCCCCTTTCTTGGTATCTATTAGAGAAACTTTTTATTTCAAGATACTCCTTCTGCCCCATGCCGCCCATGGTTTTTTGACTTGTGCGTCACAGCATTTGTGACTGTTTATTCTCTCAACAGAGCCTCAGCAAGCCTCTTCCCCCGCTCGCCACCGAGGTAAATATCGTCCTCGATGCTCTCTAAGCCCATGTCCACGGCCACCTTGTACCCCCTGACGACCATGTCCTCGTCCACGCGCAGCCCATTCTCCACCAGCGCCAGGATGACGCTCCGTATCCGTGCAATCTCGCGCATCGTCTCGTCGTCAATCTTGTCGTTTTGGCTCGAGTAGACGTTTGCGCTGACGCTCTCCTCCATGCGGTTCAGACCCACGCTCTCGGTGCCCGCGTCGCTCTCGACGTGCTTGCTGATCCAGATGAAGCCGTTGACGCCGAGCGTGACGTGCACTTTCGCCGCGCCGCGCGCCGCGTCCATGACCCACTGCTGCCTCTTTGCTCTCACCACGCCACCGCCGCCTCCCGTGCCCGTGACGGCGACGAAGACGCCGTTGCGCAGCTTGCCGTATTTGAGGGAGCGCGTGTGCAGGGAGGCGGCGCCGTCCTGGTGGAGCTGCTGGACCTCTGCGACGACGAGGTCGCCTTCCGCAAAGAAGGAGCGGATCTGGAGCTCGTCCGTGTCGGTGCGCTTGCGGAGGATGCCGCCGGGGAGGTTGATTGCGGAGATTTGGAGGATGGCGAGCTGGGAGGAGCCGACATCGACGCGCCAGCGTTTGGCTTGGACCTCTACGATGCGGCCGACGACGAGGTCGCCTATCTCGGGGGTGTAGCGGGCGCGGAGGGGGCGGACGGAGAGGAGCTTGTTTGTGCGGGTTACGGTGCCTGCGACTGAGGAGACGATGTCTGTTGTGTTTTGGGTGATGTAGGTTCCGTGGCCTCTATTTTTATGATGTCAGTAATGGCTTCCTCCATTTTGGCTTTCTTTCCACAGCTTCCTATGGATATAGTATGGGGGACGACGAACCTCATCCACTGGGGGTCGTCCGTGATGATCTCACCCGGGGTGACGATTTCGTAGTTGTCGCCACGGGAGCGTTTCGCGGGGCGCATGGAGACGTCACCCTCGATGTCGGCGCCGCCATCCGAGTCTGAGTCCGAGTCTGCTGCTCCTGCTCCTGCGGCGGCGTAGGGCTTGTGATGTGATGGCGTGCCGCGCGGGGCGAGGATTGTGATGGGCATGGTGGTTTGGGGTTTACGGCGGAAGGCCGTTTAGGGCGCTTGATTTTTTCGGTGTCGTATAATTTGACGTATTCGGAAGTATAGCTTGGGATGGTTTGCTTCGTCAATTGCGCGGGTGAATCTGTGGTGGTTGCTGTTTGGTGGATGTGGATGTGGTTGAGATTGTTGCTTGCACAGAATTTTTGGTGAAGCTTTGGAGGGGCAGTTTGCAGCCTTCAATCGGTGGACGACGCTTGCCTGCACCTTCCTTTTTTTCTTTTTTTTTTGACAGCACGACAACAACTATGAACGTCACCGATAATGGGTACATTTCACATGTCGAGTTGCATAGTGGACTTTTGTTTGATTCATCAACTTTTCGCTTTTAATTTAATTTAATGACAGTATTGTACAGTATTATTACAATGGGTGCAGCCAGTGTCCGCTAGGTTCACCTCTTACAGCATTCCGCCCAAAGATCGTTAGTCCGCTCTCAAGCGATTAGTATCGTGCCAGCCGTAAGGCCAGCGTGGCTGAGGTATCTTGACCAGGGCCTTCCTTTACGAGCTGCCGCTACGATTGTTTATCGTAGGCGCCTGAGATCCGCTCGTGTGAGGCCGTCAGCAGAGTGGTGCCAAGCTTCGTCTGCCGGTAGCATTGGTTCTCTCTCATGTCCATGAGGCCATCTGCCGCGGACGCGCCTGGCCTGGTTGTTTGAGTTGCGATTTTTTTTTCCCTCATTGTCCCAATTCTTTTTTTCGTCCCTTTCATTCGCTCGTCGTCTATTTGAACAACCTCCAAAGGCCAAGGTAGGCTAGGCCTATGGAGATGCTGGCGACGCCCAGCTTGCGGCTTCCCATGCCGAACCTGGATCCCGACTTGAGGATCTCTGCGCGTTGCCTTTCGACGTGGCCCATGCCGGAGAGGTAGTTGTATGCTGCGAGGCCGAGGAACGCGCCGCCTCCTATTTCGTTTCAAAAAAAAAAAGTCGTATCAGCATGGCTGTCCTACTGCTTTTCGGTCCGCTACAAGTCTTGGAGGAGAGTAGTGGCTTACCGATGACTCTGCACGATGTGCAGTCGTCGCCGCGATCCTCGCGCAGGAGCTGGTCGAGGCTTTCGGGCTTGTCGAGGGTGCCCACTGTGGGCATCTTGTCTCCTCCTCCGACCATGGCGGCGAATGTGTCTGTAGTAAGGTAAAAGGCTTGGTTCTGAGAGGCTTTCAAGGTTGGCAATCGAATGCTTTTTGCGACGAACGACGGGAAGCTCCTGACAATGGGAGTGGTAGACGGCAGAGGGAGCTTGGTGCAGCGACAAGGGTATAACTCGCTTCTGATTGGTTGTGTTTAGTCGTCCCCTTGCACTAACATTTAATTCCATCATCGAGCATGTGCGGCGCCGCCAAAGTACGCGGGGCCGGTCTGAGTGTGGTTCCCGGACGTGGGAGCTCCAGCAGCAGTCAGACATACTGACAGCAAGCAAACAACCTCCCACCCCCCACCACTCCGACGACCACGGCGCAGCCTCCGATGCCGACCTGAACGATGAACGGCGTTATTGAGGCGCTGCATATCTACGATGAGCACAAGTCAGTCTACAACATACCGATCATTATCATCACCCAGGCTCGTCATAGCTAACAACACCTTACCCTCCGCAGCCATGCCATTCTGTCGCACACGTACACCTCCCGCCCGCTGTCGGCGCAGCACCTCCTGCCCCTCTACCTAGAGCACCCGGCCCCGCGCCCGAACCTCGTCTACCTTGCCAACACGAACCCGCCGACGCTCGTCTTCAGCCTCAAGCACGCCAACCTGCTGTTCCTGGCCACCTCCTCCTCTGAGATCGAGCCCCTGCTCGTCCTCGAGTTCATCCACCGCATCGTCGACGTATTTGAGGAGTTCCTTGGCGCCCCCTTGCTGGCGCACAAGATTGAGAGCAACTACGATGTCGTCGCGCAGCTGCTCAACGAGATGTGCGATGCGGGGACGATCAACACGACGGAGCCCAACGCGCTGAGGGATTTGGTCGAGGTTGAGGGATGGGTGGGCAAGCTGCTTGGCAGCATCACCTTGCCGGGGTAAGGGAGACACTGTGAATACATATGATGGGAACTAGGTCTGACGGAATTCACTCAGGAAACCTGGCAACTTTGGCACCGGCTTCGCCAACCCAAGTACGCCGTCTTTGATCGCCCAGAACACCCCGGCATTACCCTGGCGCAGGGCCAACGTGCGGCATACGTCCAACGAGATGTACGCTGACATCGTTGAGACCCTGACTGTCACTCTCGCACCCTCAGGGCGGCCGCTGGCAGCATTCGCAAACGGAACGATAGCCTTCACATGCAAGGTGTCTGGCATGCCCGACATCGTCATGACCTTAACGAGCCCCTCTGGGAAACACAACTTGGCCGGCTTCATGGACCTCCCAGTATTTCACCCCTGCGTCCGTCTGTCACGGTGGAAGGAACGACCAGGTGAACTCAGCTTTGTACCACCGGACGGCCGATTCATCTTGGCCAGCTACGAGGTCGATCTGCTACCATTCACGAACGGCAAGAGCGGCAGTTTAAGCGTCAACAACCTCAAGCTCCCTGTCAACATTGAGATGAAGACCGGGCTGGGCCTTACGGGCTCCGACTTTGAGGTGCGGTTACACGTCAATAAGGTGCTGGGAGCCGGTGGCCCCTCATCAGCAAGTCAGTACGGCAGAGGTGGAGGCGGTGGTGGAGGAGCAGGTCGGGGCTTCGGCGGCCCCCACCCAGGAACTCCCTCATCCCCTCTGATGGAGGATCTGATCGTCACGGTGCCGTTGCCGGCAGAGGTTAGGAATCTGTCGGAGCTGCGGCCTAGCAAGGGAGACGCGACCTTCAACCCCAGCGAGAGGGTCCTTGAGTGGCACGTCCCCACCAAAGAGATATCTTCTGGCACGTCCTACTTTGGTCTCAGGTGTACCGTGGTGGGCCAGCTTCCGGACGAGGACGAGGACGAGCTCGACCCCAACGGGTTCGGGTTCGGCAAGGCGTACGGCTACGATGAGCAGCCATATCAGAGCAGTAGCCCCACCCAGGCGAAGAAGACGACCGACGGCGGAGACGATGAGAAGGACGCGAAGAAGGTGGCGCAGAATAAGATGCTGATGCCGAGCTCGGCGTCGGTGAGCTTCTCGGTCAAGGGGTGGTTGCCGAGCGGGCTCAAGGTCGAGAGCATCATGATTGACCCGCGCAAGAGCAAAGGTCTGGGGGAGAACGTGAAGCCGTACAAGGGCGTCAAGTATTTGACGGTCAGCAAGGGCGGTGTAGAGACGCGGTGTTAGACGAAAACGCGAAACATGATAGCAAATATAAACTAATGAGAATTATTTTAGCCACTTTTGTTCTTGGATAGGTGGTGCTTGAAGTATTGTTCACATGCTTTGGAGGGCCTCGGTTTTTTGTTTTTTTTACTACGCCTAGTGGCAGACTAGCGATGCCAATTCGTTGCGGTCTGAGATTACCTTTCAAGCGGCGCCCATCAAAGTAAACGAGGAGACGGGTTTAAGCCGCTCAAGAAGCCGTTTTCTTTTTTCCCTTTTTTTTTTTATATATTTTATATTTTTTATTTTTTATATATAACCTCAAAGCCTTGTCTGTTGTGACGGTTATAGGCCGAGGCGGTGACTCAGTCTTCAGCGCGAGATCGTAGTGCAGCATCGGGGTGAGTGACTCCCGCCGGCGGCAATTGGCCCCTGGCCCCCCTGGGGGAGATCCAGCAACGCAGCCCCGCTCCCGGCGCAGCGGAACTGGAAACGCGCCTGTAAAAGAGCTGCCCAGGCTGTTTGCCAATCGCGGGGTAGGTGTCTTTACTCCAGTGTTTTCTTTCTCCAGCTCCCATTCAATCCTCGGCCTCGGGACATTCGGTTAGTGGCGGCCGCTACCTAGGACCAACCGCCATTTCCAACTGGCGTCATGGCTCGATGGGCCGATTGTCCATCTCCGTAATTCGTACCTCACCTGCGCACCACGTTCCTGTCTCGACTATCTGCGCTCCGTTTTCCCCCAAACCCCAAGACCAAGTCCAAGACCAAGACCAAGACCACACACGGCCGCCGCGCGTGTGCTGTGCTTGCCTGTGACACATTATCTTCCAACTCGGTCGCAAAAACCCGCGGACCTCCCCCTCGTTGACACCTCTGGTTTTTAATTCTCTTCCATACTTGTTTCTAGAAGCTCTTTCAGTGGCGTCGAGTCTTTGTCACTTGCTCTTACGCTACGGCACTCTATTCTCCCGTCCAAACACCTACAGAGATACCAGCACACACCAAAGGGATTAACCACTACTCCATGATTGCGACCATCTAAGCTGCCCCAGCTCACAATTGGCTGGCGCCTTTGTCTTGTTTTTCCCAACGGGCCATGACTGCAGCTCCCGGAGCTCACCACTCTCTCCGCCGAGGCGCCGCCGCCGTATGGGCCCATGGGCCCGGCTGCCTCGGTCGCAGGCGCGCCGCGACGGGCAACGTAGCGTTTGGATCAAGTAGGCGGCATGTCTCTACATCACAGGGGAAGAGGCCGCGGACGGCACTCTTCTTTCCAGGTGCGTGCCTTACGATGAAGAGCCCCATGCGCTTGGACGAGGGGGGATCTAAACCGCAATGAGAGGGAAGCATTTCGAGGAGCTGACAAGTATGTGTGACTACCGCAGGCCAAGGAGTACAGAAAGTCGGCATGATAACACCATGGCTCGAGGCCTTCCCCCGAACCGCGAAACCCATCATCGAGGAGATCGACCACTACATGGGCTTCAAGCTCTCCGACGTCATCGCCGACGGCCCCAGCAAGCTGCTGACCAAGACGCCCAACGCGCAGCCGGCCATCATGGCGACCTCGATCCTGATCCTGCGCATCCTCGAGCGCGAGTTCGACTTTGACGTTGCGCGGCGCGTCGACGTGACGCTAGGCCACTCGCTGGGCGAGTTCGCCGCCCTCGTGGCGGGCGGCTACCTCGAGTTCGAGGACAGCCTGTACCTCATCCGGAAGCGGGCCGAGGCCATGGCGGAGGCGACGCGGCGCGCTGTTGAGGAGTACGGCGGCGAGTACGGCATGGTGGCCATCGTCACGGAGCCCGAGTATCTGGGCCCGCTGATCGCGGCGATACACGACTTTGTGGGCCACTCGAGCGCCGGGTCAAAGGGGGAGAGCTCTGAGGACGTGCCGCCTATCGAGCAGGTGCTCATCGCCAACGTGAACAGCAAGAACCAGATTGTGCTGAGCGGGAATATCGAGCGCATCAAGACGCTGTCGACGCACGTGAGGCAGTTTCTAGGCCACGACCCGCGCGCGGTGCGGTTGAATAGCGACAGCCCCTTTCACAGCCCGCTGATGAAGCCCGCCGTCGGGGTGATGCAGAAGATACTGGCGAAAAAGAGCCGGGTGCGGGGCCGCGAGACAGAGGATATTATTACCTTCCCCGGCCGGCTGCCGTGCATCAGCAACGTGAGCGCGCGGCCGTTTGAGAGCAGGGAGGACGTCAAGGACCTGCTGGCGCGGCAATGCCTGGAGACGGTGCGGTGGTGGGACAGCATCAAGTACCTCGATCAGGAGGAGAAGGTGAGGCGGTGGATCGGCATCGGGCCGGGCAAGGTCGGGCGGAACCTCGTCGGCAAAGAGGTCGGCATGAGGGGCAAGGACTCGGTCAAGGGCGGCGGCGTGTGGGCGATCACGGACCCGAGTGAGATTGAGGAGATGTTGAGGGGGTTGGAGGAGACGGAGGGGTTGTCTGATGAGGAGATTGAATGAGTGTGGGCTATTTCACGATGACAGTCGTCTGTCTGCTTCTTGGTGGTAAAACTCGGGTTGGTAATCCCAAGGGCTCTTTCTTTTATCATGTCAACTTTTCTCGATGGGCGTGTTAGCTCATGAGAAGGAGGCCGGGCTTCCACGCCTACGTTACGAACATCGGAGTATTGGTTTAGTTTAGTTTGGGTGTAATACTATTTCTCTACGAAGGGGAAATCATCACATGATTCATTCTATGCACCTTTGGAGAATTAGTTACGCTGCCTTGACGACATACCAATCACCATTTTTGTGAGGTTGAGGTTGACAAGTCAGAAGCTACCTAGGAGCTCGTTGCTGATGCCAATGCGGGGCAGCAAGGAGGCCCCCCCAAAAAAGGCAATTAAGCTCCCGTCCACACCAGCTGTTTCCCAGGACCAGTACGGAATACCTTATCCCAGCTCTCCGTTCTCCAAACCACACATCACCAAACGGCCGAAACTCAACTTTTGACCGACCCACGACACGACGATCGCACTCCACGCCTCGGCGCAGCGCCTCACCGAAGAACCAAAACCCGTAGCCCAAGGCGAAGCAGATAAACACAAGTCTGGCGCGCAGAATGGCGACCGCCATCCCTTCCATAGCATGCATAGGCATCATCGGCCGCAACGTACGTTCCTCCTCCTTCCCACCGCCCCCCTTCCCGGCGCAGAACACCATGGATCTTCGTCTCCGTCCACCCTTCCAAGGCCCAATGGTCGCCTTTCCACTTCTCCCAACTTCCCTACGATCAGACGCATGATCTTCTAAGAAAGACAGACCCAAGGCTAACGCAACAATCCAAAACTCCAGAACAACCCCCTCCACATCCAAATCTTTCCCTCCCACAACCCTTCAACAAACACTTTCGCGCCGATCCGCACGCCGCTGCAATTCTCCCTCCTCCTCTCCTCGACCCTAGACATCTTTGAGCTCCGCCACGGCAGTAACAACAATGCCTCTGGTGGTGGTGCTGCTGCCGCGGCGCCAGGGTCCACGGGGACAGGTCTGTCCGGCGAAGTAGGCCTCCTCCACGCCGTGGACGAGCGGCTGGCCGCGTACGGGTGGGAAACCAACACGGGCGTCAAGATTGTCGTTGTCGTCGACATGCGCGGGCGGAGGGTCGCCGGTGGGACACCGGGTGCTGGCGCAGAAACTACTGGTGCTGGCAAGGGCCGCGGCGCCGTTGGGTTGCGGGAGCAGGAGTTGAGGGTCGTGTTTAGGGCTGTGCAGAGCGCGTATGTGCGGTTGTTGCAGAATCCGTTTTACGAGCCTGATGAGCATTCGCCTGTCAGCGGGCGTGGGGGGCGGGTGATTAAGAGTCGCAAGTTTGAGGGGGAGGTGAGGAGGATTGGGGAGGGGTGGACGCCTGGTGTTACGAATCTCTGAAGTGGGTTGTCCTTTGGCGTGGGAGTAGTGGTGGTGTGGGTTTGAGATGAAAAAGGGGATGAAGAGTGGTTCATGGCCTTTTTTCTTTTGGGTTCCTTGGAGTTTGGAGGCGTTTGATCATAGAAGATAGATGCCTGGGCTCCGAGGGTGTGATGTCAAATATGGCTTCTTTTTCTCTTTCTCCTCTAATTTGAGCACTGGGTGATACCGGTACTGTAAGATATCTATCATGAAGACTCAAAGGTCTCGACGTCGTCTAAGCGACGTATGCTAAATCCAGCACCGCCAAAATGCTATGCTACGCTCCGTGAGATGGCACTCTCAAATGCGATAAATCTCAAAACCAAGACGATGGAAAAAGGGACACAAAGAGACAAAGAACAGAGCAAGATCATCCAACGGAACTTGTCTCCCGCCTGCTCCTCGTACTCCAACTGCCCTCCATTGCTCATGTACAAAAAGCAACCAAAATCAAACTCTAGAGACGACCGCTATCCTAAGAAGAAGGCGAAGACGAAGCTGACTTTTCACGCCGACGCTCAGCCTCCTCCAGAGCCGTCCACCTCTCAATGACGAGCTTATCCGTCCCAAACGGCTCGTCAACGGGCCTCGACGGGCCCATGACAGCGTCGCTCTGCCTTCGTGGCAATAGCGGCTCGTCTCGCTTGGGCTTGGACGGCGCCGAGTCCTCCCAGTGCCGCGCGGTGCGCGGAACGGGCGTCCACCACTCCGAGGGGTCACCACTGCTGCTGCCCCTGGCGTGCCACGCGGCGCTGCAGAGCTCCCACAGCCGGCTCGCAGCGCGGCGGTACGCGAAGCGCTCGTCTTCGCCGATGAAGCCAGCAGTGTTGCTAAAGTTAGGGCTCGTCGTGTTGCTACTACTGACGTTGCCGGCGCGGCCAAAATCCGAGTCCTGGTCCGGATCGTACTTCGAGGTCGGAGCGTCGGTGTCGTAGTACGAGATGTTGGGGCGGAAGGGGGCTGCGGAGTCTTGGTAGACTTCGGCAATGGTCTCGGAGTAGATTGCGTCCGAGGAGACAACTTCCTCCCCGGATGCTGCGGCTGCTGCTGCCGCCTCTGCGGCGGCGGCCATTTCTGCTTGCGCGGCGCGGATATCGGGGAAGAATAGGTCGTCGGGGCCGGTCTGGGCGCGGACGAAGAGCTTGCAGCGCGCTTCGTAGAGGGCGTCGAGGAGGGTGATGAAGCGCCTGGCCTCGTTTTTGTGGAGCGTGGTCATGGTGGGGACGTTGTCGATGATGAAGGTGTGGTACGTTGATGCCATGGTCACGTAGTCCGCCGGGCCAAAGGTCGCGACGAGGGCGTCAAAGTCCCAGTAGGCTACGCCGTCTCGTTGACGCGGAACAGGGATTGTACGGCCATAGACCGTGAGTGTTGCCGGGCTCCAGGGTTGGGAGAGGTGGTCTGACAGCTCTGATGACCATTCCGAGGTCTCAGGGGTCAAGAAGTACTTTGCTGGTTTTGTTGCTTCTTTGGGTGTTTCTAGACTCGTTAGCATCGCGTACTTCCATTAGTGACTGGTAACTTACCCTCTTGAGCATCTGCAGGTTCCGCCGCTAGTCCCGTTCCCTCAATAGATATGGCATCCACAGCGACCTTCACTTCAGTCTCCCGACGTCTCCAGTCAGTGGCTCCGTCCATGTGCCAGAAGTCACAGCGGGCCTTTAGCACTTCAAGAAAGGCGGCAAAGTCGTTCTGGCTATGACGAGTTCCCCGCGAGCGAGCTCCGCCAAGGAAAAGACTCTTGAGGAACCCGTCAGAAGGAGGGACAGTGTACTCGATGCCAATGGCCTTCTGCAGTTCCTCGGGCACACGGTTGGACGAAGCGATGAGTACACCACCGAGGTGGAAAAAGGCGATGAATAGGTGGCTGAGAATCTTACTTGCCGCGCGATCAGGCAGCTGAAACTCGTCGAGGAACAGAATGGGAGACTCTTCTACGAGCTTCTTGGCCAACCACAGCATGGCGTACTCCTTTTCGTTCCCGTCCAGCTCTGTGTGGGACTGGCGGAACTTTTCCAGCTGCGAGAAGGTGTAGAGCATGAAGGTGTTGAAGTGCCACCGACGTTTCCTCTCCGTCGGTAGGCCCTGTGCTAGGAGGTCGATCAACATTGACTTACCCACACCGACCTCTCCGGATAGAAAGAGACCTCTAGGTGAGTTGATGGTGATGGCGCCCTCCAGACTGGTCATGACGTGGACCAGGGCCATTGGGTCCGTCTCCTTTGTGTCCAGCATGGCCTTGCGGGCGAGGTGTTTGAAGAGCGGGTTGTCCCAGATGGGGTGACTCGGCATAGCCAGCGTCGCGGCGGCTTCTTCTGGGTCGCGGGCTTCTGGTATATCGGCCACTTGTTTTAGGCGCTCACGGTAGTCCACTTCGGGGGCGTAGTCTTTGAGACGGCCGTAGAGCTTCTGTAGGTGGATTGCCAGTCTATGTTGGTCTTGATCTGGTGAGAGGACTTTGGTTGATACCAGCGTTCGGTATTTGACGAGAGGATCGGTGATGGCCATGGCAGTCGAGTACCGCCTGATGGTGAAGGCCATCTTCCTTGCCTTTGGCATCCTCAGCGTGTGAGAAATCATGGTTGCCGTTGCTCGTCCAGAGTCAAATAATATGAAATTGCTGCCAAGGGCGGTCGACCCTACAGTCCCTCTCTTCAACACACTCGCCTTGGAGCTCTATTCCTTGACGATGTGTGGTGGAGTTTATGCCCAGCTTTCGGTCTCGCTCCCGAGAGCTCGCTGATGAACCGCACCCAAGGGCATGAACAGGGCCGGTGGTAATCGTATACTTCCACTTTGAAGCCAGCTACGGTGTAGGACTCCAAAGGCCCGAGTCGCCCAAACTGAACAATTCTGATCTACTCGATAATAGGTCTAAAACCGGTAAATGTCTTTGACGAGACTTGACTCGAGGTCGAAAGAACAAGTAAGGTTCGCGCAGAATGAGAGACGGTAGTTTTGTGAACAAGAGAGGCTATTGGCTATGCAAACTCACGAGGTCTCGTGGCCAATCATTGTAGTTCAATGTGTCTCGGGAGATGGCTCCGGGTCAAGAATGCAATGAGTTGCGGAACATGAGTGAATAGAAGCGAATGGTGGGGTCGAGTTAGTTCGTCCAATAACTCTATGTGGACGTGAGTTGGAAGTACGTCGCCTTGAAGAATAAGGTAAGTACCGAGGATCTTGAAGCAAACAAGTGCAAGTCACAATTACCAACGACTCAGTAAAAGGAAAAGCAGTTGGTAGTGGGTATTTCTGTCTGCCTCTACGGTACGCACCAGAATCGTTCTATCGATGTGTCCGCCGACCCTTCCCGAGGGCCGAGTGACGTTGTTGACTTAAGTTGGTTTCCCAGGCTCCACTTTCAGGGTCCTAAAGGTATTTTGTTGCATCCAGTGCGTCCAGGTCAATTCAGCGGGCTCCAAATCGATCGCGGAGTCTGCCAATGGGGAGCCTCTCCCATTTTGAGGTGCTAAAAGCATCGAACCTGCCCGCCTTGGTGCTGCCTGCCCAACGGGACCTGAGCAAAAGCAGGTACGTACTGGACTGGACGTGACACGAGGCAGGCAGCTCCACTCTCCTTACCTAAGGTAAGGTCGACTTGTACCTGTGGAGGGACCTGACCTCACTACGTAGGTAGGTATACCCGTGCTGTCGTTGCCCCTTCCGCCGCCTCAGCTGGCACGCCGACACACCTGCACACCTGCCCTGACCTGCTGCTCACCGGGGTCGTGGAGCCTGACACCACACTGCTAGTGGTCAGACAGGAGCTGCTGGCGCTGCTGGTCCGTGCTTGGCAGATGCAGCAACCTTGTGTTTTTTTTTGCGAGACCCAATCGATTGATGCTTCGTCACTCTCACATATTTGCTAAATCCGCTCTGCCACTTGCGTCCACCGTTTCCGACCTCCGCTTTCCCTAACAAATTAAGAATACCTTGGGCCACAGAATCCATCCATCCTCGAAATGTTTTTCTGATTGACACCGGCCCATCCACGAACACCAGCACCATCACGGCGACGGCGACCACGACCCCATCAACCACCACGCGCCCGGTCGCTCGACAACATCACCATGTTTTCTCCCTCCATGAACGAGGGCGGTCCTGCTACCGCGACGCGAAGCAGAAGAAGGCAGCGACCGGCCAGCAACGAAAGCCTCGCCCAGCAACCCAAAGCTAAGCGCCAACGTCTGCCTCTTACCGAGCAGACCTTCGTCAATCCTGATGTGTCCGCGCCCACGGGCCCCGAGATGTACGAGGTAAAGTCCGACAAAGTTGCGACACTCGACACACGCCAGGACGGCATCGAAAACCAGAACCCCGTCACACCAACTCCGAGGAAAGAGCTCAGCGTGCGCGCCAAGAAGCCAAAGGGAGGCGACAGACCAACCAAGGGCGATGGAAGCGTTGTTTTGGTACGCAAATACACGGTCGCATCGAACGCCCCCCTGATTAGCTAACAAGTTTCCCAACAGACGACGAACAACGCTTACACTGTGAGCAAATTGCCTGCATTGCCAGACCGTCTCCGCGCAGATGCTTCAGGTATGTAACGTGTGCTGATTTGACATTCCTCGCATCTAATAGTCAAGTGAAGCGCAGCAACAGGCCGATATCTTCTCGAACCGCTACGCCCTCAGCCTCAACCATACTCATGCGATCGTTTGGCCGTATACGGATCCCTCCCAATCTCCCGAGACATTCACATTCACCCTCCCGTATCCTTCAAAACATACATCGGAACCTCTGCCATTGGGTTGTCTCGTCTCCCCATCGGCATCATCAACAGAGCCCGGCCTGGTCGTTGTTATGCCCGTCAGTGGTAAGATCGCGTACTGGGAATCCATCACGAGCGCCGCGACTTTGGACTTCATGAAGAAACAGCGAAATGGCGTGGAAGGATCGATATCAGGCATGTTTTCTGGCGAAAAGGTCATACAAATCACGAACGCCGAGTCCGCCGGGTTCGTCCTGGCCTTTAGCAGTGGCCGACTAGCCTACATGAGCGTCCGAGATAGCCACGGCAGACCAACGATTTCGGTTCAATTCCTCCGGACAAACCTGGGTTCTACGACGGGTGGAATTTTCGGTAGCATTCGTCACGCCTTGACACAAACTGCAGGGCGTGGGGATATTGCTGCCGTTCGGGCAGAGCGCACTTCTCGAGTTGGCGAACGTAACGTCGTTGCAGCTACGTTGAAGGGCAGACTTCACGCCTGGAATGTACACCGCGGTGGACACCACGACACGATTGTGGAAGCAGACATGCAGGAGGAGATTATCCAAGCCATTCGCGACGTTGACCCCTCAGCTATCGACTTCCAGCCGGAGACGTTCGAGGTCGTTGACTTCGCTTTCGTTCCCAAGGGGTTAGATGCCAAGTATCGGGACATGAGCAGACTCAGCAACGCCATGGCTTCGGAAGACAAGAACCTGCAGCATCTCTTACTTCTCGCCAGCTTCACCAAGAAGAAGGATTCGCATTACTCTTTGGTTGAGGTCATCCTTTCCCCGGCCTCGGCGCAAGTTGGCATGGTTCGTCCAATTTCCTCATACAAGGCGCGCTTCAATCCTGCGAACCCAGTGCAGTCCACCAGGCCTCGTCTACATCTCCCCCGACCGGCCCTTGTAGCTTTCGTCGTTTTCGACAAGGCTGTAGTTGTGGCATCCATCGGCAACCCTCCGGAATCACCAGATGCTCAGCTCCAAGAGGATAACCACATCATTCCTCCCACTTACGAAGACGTCATCACTCTTTCGGACAACAACCAATCAGAGATCTTGGGTTCTGGCTTTGAGGAGCCGCAGACCGCTAATACTGGCCATGAGGAGTCGAGGAGCCGCCAAAAGACGAAGAACCCAGCAGTCGTTCTCATGGTCCGCGGTACCGGTATCGTGCGACTCACAACAACAGACATAGACAGATTTGGCAGCGACCAGCCTCCCAAAGTCACGCCAAAGAGCAAGCTAGAGCAAGCTGTCTTTTATGGGAACAAGCAAGATACCCCCTTAATTTTCGACGGAAGGAAAGGCGTGCAATTTTCGGATGAGGAGGTGTCTGAAGCTGCGTTACAATTAAGCCACGAGATCATGAGTTCAGCGACATCGCATATTTCAACTCTGCCCGCATCTTTGGAAGACAATCTCAGCACCCGCTGTCAGGCCCTCGATCGGTTGATGTCTCACCTCAAGACGACAAAGGTCAAGCTGGACCGTCGTACCCGCTGGCTTCTACTCTCGCATGCCGAGAAGATGATGGTGGCAACAGTTTTGTGGAAGCGTCACGAGGCTTTCACGAACGAGCGACCTGCCAACGACAAGAAGGACCTGATTGCCGAGATTGTCGAGTTCATTCACCAAGACGAAAAGACGAACCCGAACCGCAGCGCAGGGGAAGTCGATCGCGTCAGGCACTGGTTCGTGCATGACGTTGGTAAGCTCGAGATCTTCATCGCCTGGGCCTATGAAGTGATCAAGTACATGTATAAAGACCACATCATGGACGATGCTAAAATCACGCGTCTCATGTACGAGGCTCAGCAAGTCAACCTGGTTGCCCTCATGACAGCGCTAGAGTACCGGCAAAAGAAGCTGTCTTTCTATGGACTCGAAGACGAGGAGCTGCAATTCGGCATCTTGCGCGACAATTACGATGGTCTCGCTGAACCCTGGACCGGATGTCACTACATTTGCAACAACTTGAAGCGTCTGCTTGAGCTGAGTCACACCTGGCTTGATCAATACTACCCTCCCAAGGAGAAGACCAAGGACAAGGCGAAGCAGCCAGATCCCGCGCTCCTGGAGAAGATCAACGCAGAAATTGCCAATCTGAGCGATCTGTACCTTGTGTCATTGCTCGAGGCATCTCGATGGAATGCTGTACAACAAGACGCAAAGGCGCAGAAGTGGTCAGAGCATCTTTCCAAGCTCTACGATTCGGACCGAAACGACAAGGTTCTCTCCCTTCTCCGCCTCGGCAAGTGGGATGAGAGTATCAACATTGCCGAGAAGCACCGGTGCTGGAGAGCACTGGCTTTGGCTATGATTGAGCAGATCAACAGTCTCAGAAGTGAAGCGACAGTGTCAAGGTCACAAGCCGATGCTCGCGAGCTCACCAAGCAAGCGGAGCTGAAAGAGAAGCAAATTGGTGTCTACTTTGACAAGTATGGCGAGGCCTTTGCGTTCCCCACGTACGACATTCTGCTCGACAATGCTGGTGTCCAGGCCGTATTGGACTTCAGTCACGACAACCATGGATACAGGACAAGCTTCCTACGCACCAAACCTGAACTCGCCAAGATTTCGTGGATCAACGACATCCAACGTGAGCGTGACATTGGGCATGCGGCGGAGACTCTTTTCGACCTTGGTATTACCCGTGAGCAGCAGGTCTGGAACAAGAAGATTGAACTTAGTCTCGGAAAGCTGGCTTTGCTAGCTGAATCTGAGAAGCCTGCCCCATCCGATCTCTTCGGCTTCAAGCAAACCAACGTCGAGGTTGAGGGAACATCCGACGAGAAGATTGAGATCATCGATGATCAACTTCTTCTCATCAAGATCCAAGATCAGCTCTACGCCCAGATCTTCCCTTCCGTTCAGATGGCTGTAGATGAAAGCGCCGAGCTGCAACTCGCCATGGAAAATCACTGTCTTCATATCCCAAAGAAACAAAAGGCATTAATCCAAGTCTTCGAGAGCAGCATGAGAAGGCTCCTTAAGCACGAGGCTCTCGATGCCATGTCTCTTATTGACCTACTCACTCTCGTTCATCTACCGGGTGAGACGGCCGCCGACATTGATGATCCTTTCTATCTGGCTCTCGAGGCCGCTTCATTGGGACTGAAGGGCGAGGAGTCGAAGATGGCCAAGCGTTTGATCTGGAGACGATGCTTCATCCGCGATGATTGGACCAAGCTCAACGACACCCAGTTGAAGAACGATTCGTTCGTTGGAGAGAAGTTGACCAGGACTACGCTCTTCAGTGCCTTCATTTCCTGCTACCAAAAACGTAGGTATCACTAATTCGCTCGCACGAAGCCAGTTGCTAACTACCAAACAGAGAGAATTGATGAGCCGTTCCAGCCAACGAGACCTTCCGATGCGCTGGGAGCATTCGTAGACGACCTCGACGGCCGCTGGGCCAGCTGGGAAAAGTCTTACCGGGATAAGCTCCTGGATGCAATGAAATGGGAGGACTCGGTTCTGCGCAAATACATCGACAAAGCACGTCTGGAGGAATGGACTCGCACGACGGCCGAGTCTGCCGAGACGTTAGTGGCGGACAGCGTGGATGAGGCTACTCGGGCTGCCACGGAGGATATTCCAGACCTGCAGACGAATGGTAAGGCGAATGGCCTGCACTAGGATGTGGAGGCATTTCAGCAACAAGATGGTGTTTTCTACTCGTCCGAATCGAGCCTCTCGTCAAAGAACTTCAAGTTCGGCGCCGGGTGGGGATCATTATTCTGAGTCTGAGTTCCAGGGAAACCACGGGGTCATGCAACATCCCTCGCCAACGAGGATCATTTCTTTAGTTTTGGGGGCTTTTGGGAAGTCTGGTTCTGGGTGTAACTTTAACAGCTCTCGACGAGGCTGAGGCATTGGTGTTTTTTGACTTTCCTTTATGAGCCTCAACAGATGTGCCACGGCACCACGGCTCCTCTTTTCTTCTTCTACAACATCAATAACGAATTGGGAAAGGCATGGGAGAGGCGGGAACATTAAAAAAGAAAGAAGTTGATGCAGACAGACAGCACATGCTAGCAAGCAACACGACGATTCAGATTACAGATAAAATACACGATTGGGGGAGGCCTGTCACTCTATTTCGAAATCTTGCTTCTCTGACTTGTACAATGCTAGTGATAGGGCTTTTTGTCACGATGCTCTTGAGAAGTTGTGGGGTTTTTGAATAGCTGTGGTTTTGCCATGTCAGCCGTTCCATAACGCCATGTCCTGATTAATGATGGAAGCAAAAACGAGAGGCTGTGTGATCGGACTTGGCACTGGTATTGATTGGATAGAGCTTTTCCTCGAGCATTTGTGACACGACTGCACACTATACAACATGTTTCAGAGCTTTCGTGATTTTTTTCAGGTCTCGGAGAGATGCCGTTCAATCAATCTGGTAATGCATACTCTATGCTCGATACCTGAGTGCGTTTCCGCGATGATGTATTCGTATTGTTCATTATCATTTCTATTATTCTTCACTATTGTTGTTTCTCTCTTTGGGTCTTCTTCTGCACTTCCTTTGAGGTAGGCGTTTCACATATCCACTAACGTCGTCGTCGTCGTCGTCGTCGTCGTCAAAGGCAAGCACCTACCGTACGTAGACGCATAACTCCCACGACATATCGCGTGGTATATAAACCACACATTCGCCACCCGCTCGGCGCTCGGTGCCCGGCGCGCCCCAAATTACATGGACAAAGGGTGCAACATCAAGACAAAGCAACGCGGCGGCGAAGACGACGACGACGACGACACGCGCGGCGCGCCCGCTTTCTTCCCGTCTACTCCAGGTGATACCCTTCCGCAGCCGTTTTTCTTTTCTTTTCCCGTGGGACCGTGGAAGCACTGGCCAAGCCGGGAGGAAGGTTTGGCCAAAATTTTGAGCCTCGCCGATCCACGGCCTTGTGTGCTCCGTAGACAGGTCTCCAAAGAAAAGAAAGAGGCGACGTAAGGTCCTCCCACTCTCTACAGGGATCCTGCTCTTTTCCAAATTTAGAGCAAGTTATCCACGGCACCCACGGCGATCAATCCATAGGTATGTCAATCAAGGACATAACCTATTACAATCCTACCTAAACGGCTACACGGGGGTGGTTCTTTCTCGCTGCAAAAGTCTGAAGCAATTGCTGCTCGCAGGTCTGGAGTATAAGGTATCCAGTATCCACCGTAGTCAGAAAATCGAGACAGCAGACAGGCCTGGGCGGCTTTGGCTCCCGCGGCTCGCACTCGCAATTAGAACTTGTGCCAAGATCTTGTTTGAGAAACGAAAAGACAGAGTCAACCTTCACACCCTCACTCAACCCACCAAGATGGTAATGTTGAAGGAAGCGATGCCTGCCCGCTGGAGGGGTAAGTTACCGTCCGACAACTCTGGCCAAGCCACAATTCATGCCGTCCCAGTTGTCGTCCCAGATGACAATGATAACGACCGTCGAGCGCCCAGCAACGGCTGGAGCCCCCAACGTCATTCACATGGAGAGTGCGCAAGCCACAGCGTGCCGAGGAAAGCGAGCCACACTATCCTGGCGTTGCTTGCTTACAGAGGCGGGCCTTTGTCTTGAGACATGACTTGCGAACTCTAAGGCGTTTCGAGAATCTGATTCGCCGTGTAGCTGCTGGATGACTAGCCGTGAAATCTTGGTTCAGCAAAGACTGTTAGCTTCGACTCGCCGAGTCGAAACGAAAAGAGACAATGACCACAGAAGCGGGAACGCCGTCGGATCCAACGTGTACTCCAACGGGAATTTTGGTGTTTGTGAGTGCGTCTGCCCTGTGACTGTCACAGGCTAGACGAGAGCCATGGTGCGGTTTAGACGACCTGATGGGAGTTATTCATTGGATGACGGGCCCAAGATGAACGCGGGGAGGCCTGTTCGTAGTCGAGACTTGGAGGAGTGCTGGACGGGTCAGCGTTTCATTTGAACGTTGGAGAATATGTCTGATGGGTAGGAGGGCCAGCTGACGGGGATGGACGGGAGACAAGTGAAACCGTAAGGCGGAGGGAGCGCGGATGGTTGGCTGGCTGGTGAGCCACTGCACCTGTTGAATGGTGACGGGAGTAGTGTAGACATCGGATGATGGGCACTACGACAGGTAGCGTTGAGAGGAGGCAGTCCGTATCGAATGGCAAGCAGAAGCGGTATCCCAGCCGGTTGCCGCGTGAGGAGGCATTTGTTGGTTGACTTCCCACATGGAACGGAGCGGGGCGGTCTTTCACCGCATCTCGGGCGGCATCGCGGCGGTGGGGGGTCAAACGAGCCGGACTGTAGCGCCGCTACAGGTCCAGGCCGGTATGGGCAAGGTTCTGCTGCAGGAAGAATGGCCATTGGACGGTAGCGCCTTCAGTACCTGCAACGGGTGCATACGCGTGGGTTCGTGTTGGTGATCCTCCATTTTTCAACCTTCTCGAGCCTTTTTTCTTCTTCTCCGTTGAACAGGCGACTAACGGCGTGCCATTGGATGTTCTAAATGGGCTAGCGGCATGGTGCTTGGGCCACAGTTTATGCTGTTATGCCTTTGCCGAGAAAGAGAATTTTCGCAGGATTGAAATGGTAATTGTGATGGTTTGCAGGGAAATACACATTCATGCCATGTGGGACGCGCGAACATGTCGAGCGTACCGCTGTGTATGCCAACCGCCAAGAATAAAGTGGCTGCCATGAGGAGGGGACAGCCTTGTGCCGACAAGATGCTGTCGTGGGAATAGTACCAAGTATCGATATGTCTCGTCAATTTTTCTCGAAGTACGCTCTTAATTGCCGACGAGCAACCGTGGAATGTGGGATTCAACACGATTCAGGGTGTCTAGTGTCTTCGCCTGATGCGCTTGCGTAGACAATGCCGACTGTGTGAAGACTGAATTGGATGTCAACGGGCGACGAGCCATATCCGTCATCTCCCAGTCAGACACATCTCAGACTTGGTCGTTGCCCCTTGTTTGGAGGTTTCCAGGCTCCCTTGAAAGGGGTCGTCGGCCGACGGAAAGTGAAGGGCAAGGCCTGTTGTGGCCAGGATATGAAATTCATCGTTCACGGGGACAAAGCGAGATATGCGGCGGACGCAGACTAGGCCGTCAGCGGACCTCGATCCCCGCACAGGGCACACACGCCGTGTGCTTTCTAGGGTCGTTTCTAGCGCGGCTTTCCGCTGCTGTTTGGGCTTGGCTTGGCTTGGGATTGCCGCAATGCCCACGGGCAAAGGAACATGCAACATCCTGGACGAGATAGGCGCGAGCGTGTGTCCCCGTTTCCCCTGGCGTATCGTTGGGTGGACTATCCGTTGGTGTCTCTCTCCCGCGGTCGTTCGCCCGTAGAACACCTACAGCACAGCATAGCACAGAGACCGAGAGTGACTGGCGAGGCCGATAGGCAGAATATCTGTACGGATACCTGGCAGACAGGCGACGGGCCACGGGTGGCTGGAGTTCAGATGAGGATGGATGCAGAGGACGGGCGCCGGAGTTCCGTACTAGTTCAGATTTCCTATGCTGAGGTGCAATAAAGAGGAGTTCGTTTTTATTCGAGATTGGGACGAGACGAGACGAGAAGAGACGAATACGGCGTGGATTCTCGAGCAAGGTCATATAGGTGGTAAAAAAGAGGATACGGGCAACGAAGAGTTGGGTGAGAGGGAAGATGTTGGATGGTACTGCAGATTGGAGCCGACTGCGAGGGGCAGACCAGGTTACGGTTTAGTAGACGGTAGACGGTAGACCCCAAAACAGAAGTCGACTCCGGTACATGGGAGATTGGTGGGAAATTGGGTTGACGACAGGTACCGGCCTGTCAGGCCGTTCTTGCCCTTGGCCTTGGCAGAGGGAAATCCACCTCCAATGGTCAGGTTGCTCCGCCAGAGTTGTCGGTAAGGCAAGGTGAAGGTACCTTCCCTCCACGACAAGTATCTTTGGATGTATCCGTCTACGTACAGGATACCTCCACCTCTTTTGCATCTAGAACCTCAGTAATCAGGCACTAGTCGCCGTCTTCTTTCCCTTTGTTAGGTGACACGCCAATGCCATCAGCTGGTCTGTGCTTTATTTCGTTGGTGTCGGTGTCCGTTCACGATGCTTAAGCCTATCAGGTACCTTAGCATAAGGTAAGGCAGGGCCAGCTGCTCAATGCTTCCCCTTCGTTACCCGTCTTCGTAGAACCAAAGGTAGGTAGGTACCTTATCCAACCAGTTTCGGACTTATCCAGATACGTACCACCGATCTTACGGATATTCAGAGATAGCTTATTTCTATCCGTAACCATTCACCATTCTGTACGGGACAAATACCAGACGTGCCGGAGGGAGGCTGGGAGGCAGCTCGGAGCGGCCGTACAGCTCTCATGCCATTCTCAATCTAGACCAATCCAAAGTCGAGTGCACTGTAGCTTGTCCTGCGTTTGATGATTGATATGTTAGGTTGTCGCGAATACCCGTTTGTTTTGGTGCTCCCAATCTACCAATCTTCCAATCTTGTTCTCCGAGTTGTTCCAAAATTCCGAAAGTCCTCTTCCACTCACCGTGCCCTTCGGCGCCGGCCCCCTCGTCCGTTGAAATTAGACATTAGATCCATTCCTTCTCCCCCCTCGACAGACAGTCGCCCACACGTTCGTCGTTCGTGGCTCTTATCCTCGCTTGCCCCCCTCGACCGTCGTTGCTCACTTTACCAATCCTGGAAACTGGACTTGGGACCTGGACCTTGAACCCAGAACTGATCTGACCCCCCATCGTTCATTGAAAGAGAAGTGTGGGCCACGGTGAGCGTTGCAAGGCAGGTTTAGTTATTGAGAGGTTGAGGCGTCGCTTGCAATTTCACCTGGGCCGTTGACGACACCGGCTGTACGGAGTAGCATCTCACCTTTCTCGATCCATCTCTCCCTCTTTTCTCTCTCTTCCTCTTCTTCCTCTCTTCTGCGCTATTCCTTCCCTTTTCTCAGTCGCGCTCCTCTTCGCCTCGACAAGCCTCGATCGGAGACGATTCACCGGCACAATCCGACAACGGCGAGATACGACTCAGCCTTCGCACCGCCTCCCTGCTGTCGCCCCCGAGACAAGACATTCCAACAATAACGGACGAATTAAAGTCTTAGATTAGGCAGTCTGCCCACGAAGAAAATCAAGTCAGCAGCACCGAACCGACGAGATAGGACAGCCTGCGGACAGAGCAGGACAAGAATAGGTCGACCTCAGCAAAAAGGCAGAAACGGAAACAATCAGGCCTTAGGTGAGTAAGAAAACAGGGGAGGCTGTGATGAGAGCCCACCCGCTGCTGCACAGCACAAGGCGGCATCCAACGAACGGATGGACGCCTCAGCACAAGCAACACCCGATCGGATTGTCCCCTGCACATTGCACAATGCACCCTTGCCTGGACCATCACCGCCTGTGTCCCACCGTCCGTACCCTCATTCTCCCGTCCCCCCCCCCCCTTCTTCTCTCTTGCCCTCAGCTTCGGCCTCAGGCCAAGGCTAGGCGATTCGTGTACTGGGTGCGCGCGCGCGCGCGTGCGTGTGTATACTGTGGTGGTGGTGCGTGGTGAGTGTTGGAGTGTGTGAGTGAGTGAGTGAGAGAGAGACCGGCCCGGCACTGAGCCAACAATTTCGCTGGGCGCTGCCTTGCACAGCACAACAGCAGCAACATGCCTGTACAAGCACCACCAACGGCACCACCACTTACTCCCACCTCACCTCACCTGAATATTTTTTTTATTTCTTTTCTGCTGCAGAGTACCTTACTCCGTACTGCGTACTCGTACCCAATTCCCTCCCGTCCTCCCTTTTCACTCCATCTGCACTACACCTCCAGGCTCCGGCACCACCCAAGTGCCTCCCGTCCTCAACCAGTTACCACCCGACCTCACCTCACTCCGTGCCCAGCGGCTACCTGCCAGTAACAGCCCTGGGAATCCCCAAGCCCAGCAGCCCAGCCCGGTCCAGCCCATCCTTTTCCCGCCAGCTGCTTCGCACTCCCCGTGCAGTGCATGTGGTCCGGGGGGCGGATTACCCACTGAAATCACTCGTCTGCGGCTGCCATCCGTCCACTTGCCCCAAATTTCCATCCATTCTCTCCCAGTCCTCCCCCATTCATCCTTTCCTTTCCTGAAATCCTCTTCCAAGCAACCACAACCACGCAACCACCCCCTTCCCGTCCTCTCGGCCTGATTTCGCCTCCCCGAAACCAAGTCAGCTCAAATGGGCATCGGGATAACGAGCAGCTAGCTGACCTGCGACCCTCATTATCCTTTTAGACATATCGTCCATTTTTTCCCACCTTCATACACCAACCCCCGATCGACTCCATCAGACCGCCTCGACCGACACCCGACACGATTGAACCGAGCATCCAGGCCCAGCCTTTGCCCCGACACTACGGTCCGTAAGAGGACGTAGGCCTTCGACGCAATGGCTTCCTCATCGAGCAACGTCGTCGGCGTGCACTATCGTGTGGGAAAGAAGATAGGAGAGGGATCTTTCGGTGTCATTTTTGAGGGCACCAACCTCCTGAATAACCAACAGGTCGCCATCAAATTCGTACGTCGCCGACTTCACTCAATCGGATTCCGCGTCCTTAAGGGCGTCGCGGTCACTCAATCATGTTTGACATCTTGCTAATACTCTTTTCCGTCGTAGGAGCCGCGTAAAAGCGACGCACCTCAATTGCGAGATGAGTACCGGACGTACAAGATTCTCGTTGGATGCCGTACGTTCATTCTACAATCTCTCGTCCGATGGCATTACTGACTGTGTTTTCAAGCTGGCATTCCCAACGTCTACTACTTTGGACAGGAGGGTCTGCACAATATCCTCGTGATCGACCTTCTCGGTCCCTCCCTCGAGGATCTCTTCGACCACTGCGGCCGAAGGTTCACTATCAAGACCGTCGTCATGGTTGCCAAGCAGATGGTGAGTTACGCCAGCATTGTCATAATATCAAACATCAATCGACTAACCAAGGATGCAGCTGTCGAGAGTGCAAACCATCCACGAGAAGAACCTCATCTACCGTGACATTAAGCCCGACAACTTCCTGATCGGCAGACCAGGCACCAAAGCCGCCAACGTGATTCATGTTGTCGATTTCGGCATGGCCAAGCAGTACCGCGATCCTAAGACGAAGCAGCACATCCCTTATAGAGAGCGAAAGTCGCTGTCCGGTACCGCCCGATACATGAGTATCAACACCCATCTCGGTCGCGAACAATCCCGCCGTGATGATCTCGAGGCTCTTGGCCATGTCTTCATGTACTTCCTTCGTGGCGGTCTTCCCTGGCAAGGTCTGAAGGCTGCAACAAACAAGCAGAAGTACGAGAAGATTGGCGAGAAGAAGCAGACCACCCCTATCAAGGACCTCTGCGAAGGATTCCCCGATGAGTTCAACAAGTACTTGACCTACGTACGGAATCTCGGCTTCGAGGACACCCCCGACTACGACTACCTCCGCGAGCTCTTCACACAGGCCCTGAAGAACACTGGTGAGGTTGAGGACGGCGAGTACGACTGGATGAAGATCTCCAAGGACAACGGCAAGGGATGGGATGCCATGAAGGGCCACAACCCCGGATACCTGCACAACCCAAATGCTCGACCCGGCCCGTCTCAGATGGAGCTTCACAGCGGCCATCGGGGCGGTGCTGCAAACCCCAACAACCCCAACAACCCCAACAACCTGACAGTCGGCCGTTTAAACGCCGCGCAACCCCCGCCTCCTTCTCCGATCAAGCAGATGGCGAAGTCGAGAGGTCAACCAAACGCCCCCGGCGCCTTGAACGCGCAACGGGGCTCCGGAGTCGGGGGTCTTCGGGACATGGCCACCCCCACCGGCTCAACTCAGGCCCAGTTTCAGAACAGCAACCGCAACCTCCCCCAGAACGTTCCTCAACAGACACCGATGAACCAGCAGCCGGCCCCTCCTAATGGCCGTCCTGCTGAGCCCCAGCCTACAGGCTTCCAAAAGTTCATGAAGGTGCTTTGCTGTGGTATGTATCCCTTTGTGTCTCACCCATCGTCGGGCCGTGTCACTAACAATTCTACAGGCTAGAGTCTCGGTTTCTGCTTATGTTCGTGTTGCCACAAGGACGGCTAAGACTACACCTCACCACTATATAAATGCCCACTGGACAAATCCAGCCAGATGCCGGATCGATGTTTGAGAGAAAGTCAGGCCACCAAACCTGGTTGAGGACTTCTTCACCACCCACCAATCCCCTTTGTCCGTCACTCTTCATCTTTTCCGACAAAAACTTGTTCATCCTCTGAGCTACACTTTTTTCCCGCATGACGACCACGGAGTAGCATCCAGCGCGCACACTGGCTATTCCGGGATAATGACGAACACACTAGCCTTTCTTTCTGGTTTTCTCTTCATCTGTGCTTCGACGACGTCTCTTCTTTTGGAGGCCGTCGGGGCATCATAAAAATCACTGGCATGGAAATCTCACCTCGGGAATGGGGACCTTCTTTAACTAAGGACTTTCTGTTTCTAAGGAGAGAAACAAAAAACATACAACTTGATAATGTACAGCGCAGCACGGCGCATGGCGGTTGCAGGGGTTTTTAAGCATTGGGTCAGGTTCTGCCGCACGTTTTCGTTAAAGTTGATAATAAGGCTCGCCGTGTCCGGCACAGCTTGAGGCGACTGCGCTGTTGGAGAGAGAGATTGGTGATTGCGAGACGGCGGTTGAGAGATGTTTCGGGGAGAGAGTTGTGTGGAGGCTGATAGACAGAAGAGAGAGGGATACAATGGACATGAAACTTCACACTACACCAGTCAATGACCTCTGCGTTTCCTCATGTGACATGCCACCCTTCCTCGATATGATGATGCAGTTGCCGAAACTGACTCTGATGCGTTCACGATACGAGATGCTCGTTTTGGCCTGCCGAGATGAACCAGCGTGATGGTGGAGTACTTTGAATCTCCAGGCTTCATGCTGCGGTAACAACTTCAACAAGAATGGAAGACTTGTCTGCCTGCTGTTTCCATTGCCAAGGAACAGGAACTTGTAAGCTCGAATGCCTATCTCAAACGTGTTGGGTTGTGTTGGCCTTGTTGTTGCTCTGGTCACCAAGTTCACCGTATACATAGATACATGACGGCGTATTAGATTCTGAAAGGGTGGATATTGAACTGCCTACTTCGCGCTACGAGATCTAGGCTAGCCTAGGTCAGATACTTGAATCAATCGTTATGAAAAATGCGAGCCACTGGGATGGATCATGCGAGACTTTGATAGGTAGGCGTATCCGTGTAGAAGGAGCGTGACGGATGTTGAGACGATGTGTTTGTCGGCCTCTTACAAAACTGGCACGAGCTTCGGTCTTTGAATGATTCGATTGACTTGCTGAGCTGGTGTAGACAGTAAGACCGGGCTTGGATAGATGGTATTCAGAACTTGCTGTGTGGTAATTCCCACGTATCACCTGTGAAGTAGAGCCTCTCTCTCTTGGTCCGGGTAGATATCATGCAATCGGGTTCCTCGACGTTCTCTGCAAGCAGGAAGGCTATGCCACCCCGGGGTTCTGGGTTGGGGATCATTCCAACATCGAAGAGCTCCCCTCCAACACGGCTACATCGCGAATTGGTATTTGCCCCTGAAAGTATGTTCCGTGAGGAATACGTGTTCGGTGCGTGGAAGGGGTGCTAGGTAGTCGCAAGGTAAGTTCAGTGAGAGTAAGTACCACAACTCCGGCATCTGAGCATGCCACTTCGAGATGCTATCGTTGGCAACGAAAGGTGCCAGATATTGATGGAAGCAGATCGATTTCTAGACACCGAATCCCCTCTGTAGTCTTGTAGTCTTGGAACGACCTCGGTTTTTATACTTGTACTATCTCAACCTCGAGACTACATGAACCCGCTGGTCGAGAATACGCGCCCCTACAAAATCCTCAATCTGAGAAGACTTCTCGGAATCTCGTCACCAAGTTCTTTGCTCAATAGACCAGAGCGTCAAAACGCTCAACCACTGGGTGGCCAATAGGCTGGGTTGCTATCAGAGGGCCCTAGACCTGAGTATATGTAGCCCCAGTTAACAGAGCTCTCACTCGATAGACGCGTCCATTGTCAGTTCCCCAGCCCGGTCCAGCATCAGGTATTGATCCAACATGCTCTGCCCCAACTGTCAGCTTACATTCCTTTTAACACCGTTCGAAGAAGACCGTTGTAACTTACCCAGTCCACGCTAGCAGGGTCGTTCAAAGCATTATCCAACGCCATGAAATTAAACTCATCACCTTGATACGTCCCCTCTCCAAGGAAACCCTGGCTCTGGCCTGGCGTCTGACCAGGCAAGCCACCAACATCTCCATACCTAGAGTGCACAGCCAACGACTCGCTGAACAGAGCCGGATCTCGATATGTGCTATTGAGACTACTACCTGTACTCGCCGCCGTCACTGCCGTCATTGTCATCCTCGTGGTGTTGTCGGTGTGCTGCTGCTTCCTCTGGCGCGATATGCGCTGGACCATGGCCCGCAGGACCGCCGCCGCGTGCCTTGCATCCTTGGAGCAGTCTGACCTCCGCGACCAGATCTCGCTTGCTGTCTTGAGGGCCTCCATTTTTCGTTCATAGTCCTCGTCACTTCTCAGTCGTTAGCAACAGCTCCAGTATCCCAAGCCCGCCACTTTCCTCTCGACCGTCTTTCCAGCCTAGCCAACGAAGAGAAACAGAGTCGAAGAAATAAGACGAAAGAGAACATACCTCGTATCCGTACTCTCATTCAAATCCAAACAAACCACCATGGCAGCAATCATGAAGTCATGCAACGTCAAACTACTCAACATGTACCGATCCTCAAACAACCTGCCCCCCGGGCTCGCTTCCCGGTCAAACTCGGCGTGCAAATCCAACACCCGCAGCGCCGCAGCTCTGCAAATCTCCCTCGAAGTAGCGAACCGTGGGTCCCCGTTATAACACCCCTTTTCCCTGCTTAGGTACAGCCGGTGCAGCACGCACAGCGCCTTGCTGTACATCAGCTCCAGCATCAGCCGCTGCATGACCGTGTGATTCTGTTCCGTGAAGCCCGTCTCCCGGATCGGCCTCACGCGCAGCACGGCGGGCAAGGCGGCGTGCCACGCGTGTAAAGTATCATTGAGGACCTGGGTCTCGGCGTACGCCGGCTGCGCGGGCGAGAGAGCGTGGCGGATGACGCGCCGCAGGATCCGGCAAAGTTTCGACTTGTAGCAGTAGTACAGCGAAGGCGTGGCCTCCGTCGGAGGGCGTGGCGGCGGCATCGTCGTCGTGTTCTCATCAAAGTCTTCGTCCGGGTGGTTCTCGGGCCCGACTGCGTCGTTGTCACCCTCGTGGACGATGGCTGGCATGCCGAGCTGGAAGGACAGCAGGAGGTCAAACGCCTCGCAGTAGAACCAGGCGCGGCGGCGCATCTCGGCGTCAAAGGGGGTGATGGGGGCCGAGAGGTGCGAGGGCTCGAGGTGGTAGCCGCGGCGCTGGGCGAGGCGCGTGGCGACGCCGAACATGTTCCAGAGGACCGGGTCCATGTCCCTGCTCCCGAGGACGCGGGAGTAGGCGACGAGGAGCGTCGCTTCGACCGAGTAGGGTCTTGCGGCGAGGTAATTACCCTTGATGAGGCACTGTACGGCGCGGCCCGAGTACGCCGAGGCCTCTTTTAGCTTTGCGGGGTTGAGACCAAGTGCTTCGGCGTTGCCCTTGCCGCGGACGATGACGGTAGCGTTTGATATGATTGAAAATAAGATACTGATCCAGAGCCAGCTCATCGAATCCGGGTTGGCCCAGAAGGCGGCGTACTCGCGCTGAAAGCGGCCGACGTGAATAAAGGGCACGGCGGTGAACCGGGCGTTGAAGTAGACGCCGAGTAGCTTCTCGAGATCCTGTCGCGGCGGGAGGCTATAGAGAACCTCCGGTAGGGAGACGGGTACGACGGCCCCGAAGAGGAAGTCCGGGCCGATGGCGCAGGCGCCACCTTCGGGCGGTTCAGGGGCGACAGTAGGGTCTGGCTCAAGGGCTGTTTTGATCTCGCGGATGTGGTGGAGGAGAGCGGTCCAGTGCGTTGCTCCGTAGTAGGAATCGTCTCCGTCGATAGCAATCGGGGCTGGGGAGTCGTGGCCGGTGCTGCTTTCGCTCCGGGGTAGTTCCGAGTCCGTCGGTGGTGTCGGCACGGCGTTGACGATCCCGGCGGGCTTGGTGGGGCCCGGTCTTGAGGCCGGTGCCGGGTTCTGCTGGGGGCCGTTCCGGTCACGGTCTTTGGATGAAGTCATGCCCCTCCTGACAAGGTCCTGAACCATATCCTCCAGCTTTCGGAGTCGGAAGTGAACCTCCGGACGCGGCTGCTGTCCCGCTCCACTCCCACCCCGATGACGAGTAGCTCCATCTGAAGTGACAGCCGCTAGATTCCCGTTTCCACGACTGGTCGAGCTCAGAGTATTCCCAATACCTCCACCAGAAGTGACAGGAATGGCATCGCTTCCAGAAACGGTAATGGAACCGGCACCGGTAACAGCGTTAGCGTCGCATGGCGTAGAGGCAGAAACAGAAACAGAAGTAGGTGGTGTAGATGCAGATGCAGATGCAGAAGTAGAAGTAGAGGCAGCAGCCCCAAACTTGCATGCCCCCTCGTCCCCGCGCCTAACACACGCACCGCATGGGAGTGCGCGATCGCATCGTAGCTTCCGCGCACGGCAGGCGAGGCACGAGACGGGTTGACGGTTGCGCTTTGTTACCCTGCGCTGGCCGTCGGACAGAGACTGGGCACGGAAGACGGACGTGAACTGGGTAATGTCCGCCGAGGACGACATGATTCGTTCCCTCTTCTTTGCGCCGGCCGAGTCGGCTCGGCTGCCCTACCGTCGATCTATGGTATTCTTCCCTCTCTTCGACCCTTTTCCTCTTTTCTTCTGAAAATACACCCCCCTTGGATAAGGTTGTCGGGGTGTGGGGGTGATGGCTATCGGCCGAGTTGTTCTCCCAGATTCCCGTGCAGTAGTAGCGTGTAGAGGAGTGAGCTTGGGCGAAGTGAGGTAAGACGAGGTCCGAGATGGATTACCGATCTGGGATACAAGTGATCCGGAGTTTAGCTGCTTGTTTCTCCTGAGGAAGAAGTAGGGAAAAGTATGAGGTCGTATCCGGGAGAGCAATGGAGATCCAGGGTTTCCCGAAAACGTGACCAATGTCAGTCAGCAAAGGAAGGAGAGCAATCGTCATCACAGTCATAGGAAAGAGAGGAGGAACTTTGGAAGGAGCTTGTTAGTCGGGGTTAATCCCCGGCTTTTACGCTTTCCCCTTTCGGAAATATTACATCTCCGGCTCCTAATCGTACCTTACCAGTGGTATCTTAGAGGCAACCGGAGCTTCAACTTCCATTGAACATCATCTCGTCGACACCATGAACAAGAAAACGAAGAAAACCACCACCGCCCTACGCCACGATACACCGTAATACAACTCTCTTCACCGAAGTCCTTTTTTGACTCCCTCTTTACATGTGTCACAAACGCCGCTTTTCTAGATTGAGCTTGTATGCCAATTATAGACGTCAATGTGTCATTGATTATCTTCCGCACAAGCGACTGCATCCAACGAGCACGTCCTTTCTCTCTAATTTCTTTCTTGTAAAGAAGGCAAAAAGTAACGGTATGCATCTTCTCTATGACTTTGCTCCTCACCCCTCTCTTTACTACACTAGACTACATGAAGACGAAAAGTCTGAGCGATTCGGAGAAGCTTTACCGATGAACGATTAAACCGTGAGAGCATGCAGAGCCAAGGCAAATCTCGCATCTCTAGGTTACAGCAAATTTAATTAAACCACCGGAACGAACTACGGTATGACAAAACCCTGTCCCTTGTATTCTCGTCCTCTTTCTCTCGCTCTGTCGGGAACGTCCCAACTTTCTTTACTAAACGCCGAAACATCTACACGAACCTCCCCTCAAGCGGGCTCTCACAATGATGGAATCAAAACACTCCGCATGCTCTCGTTCGTTCACCGCCTAGCTATGTGTGTGTGTGTGTGTGTGTGTGTGTGTGTGTGTGTGTGTGTGTGCGCGCCTCTCCCCCACCTCTCACATGCTAACCAAACAGGAGACCAAGGGCGAGCTTGGTAAAGAGAGCAAGCAACATGTTTCTGTCCGACAGGGACAGCAATATCCAAAGAGACACAGACATTTTCCTCAAAACTCAATCGTGATTTTTCTCCCCCTTTTATCTACTACGGTATGTTGCAATCCCCTCGACCCATCTACACACGCCTCCTCACCCCTCACCAGAGAAAACGTCCAAACACTTTCTCTCCTCGTTTTCCGCCATCCGTCAAACGCCTTATGCCGTCCAATGAACATATGCACATCAATTCTCAAGCTTCTTGTTAATAACTATGTTTAGCCTGGCACCTCTCACAATGCGCGAACGCCTGGCGTACACATAAACCCGCCGTTCACGTGCACCCAGCACCTCACCTTACATATACTTACATACACGTACAGATTATCCAACAATCGCGCACGTATTCGGATCCGAGAATTACTCTAATGCCCGTACATTCTCATACTTCTCTTTCCCATCGATTACTGGAATGGGATGTCATTAGCGCCACTAGCGCTGCATTCCTCATCATCACCGCGGCCCGTACACGGGGCGACCGTCTCTCAGACCTCATACGCACGGCCCGAGATATTAAACGCAACCTACACCCAACGCCCTCTCGCACGCAGGCAGAAACAACCGCTAAGGCTGGAATGTATCCCACCGGCATCTGTGCTATTCTACCCTCAATATGGTATTCGTATCGAAGCGCCTATCCAAGTACCTATCTTGCCGCCATGACCCTACTCTAACTCAAAGTCCTATTCACGACGAGTAGCTGGTCTTTGCCTGCTCCGTGATCCCCCATCATCCCATCTTCGTATCGGCAAGACCGCTCTTACTCTTTGCAGACCTGCTGCACGATCCAAACGCCGTGCTGCTGCTCCGGGATCTTGAAAAATTTCGACACTACACGCCACTGCGGAAGAGAAACGGCCTACCTGACCTTCTATCCATCATCACCTACTTACACGGTGCGTGCTGGCGTCTGTGGTTTATCGGACTGGCTCACATCCGACCAGTCTCAGTCTGTACCACGCAGTGACCCCTAAGTCTCCACCGTTTTTTTTTCCTTTCTTTCGTGGTCCCGTCATCCCATCTGTACAGAGGCCAAGGAGGCCAGAACTTTTCTTGACAAGATTGAAACAATTTGACGCTGTACGCTACTGTCTCATAGGGCTACGGTGGTTGGCACGGCATGTGCCCGCGTCTGTGAGGAGCGGCAGGATCGAGACAGCAGTAGCAGTAGCAGTAGCAGTAGCAGTCGTAGTTGAACTTGCATCTCGATCTCCATCTGTCCACGGGTCTCATTAACATTGCACAGCACAAGTTGAATAGAATCCTTGATATCATGTTTGGCAACAACTTTCATTTGCCTCATGCAGTAAAGCTACCGATCTTATGCCGGACAACATGCCTGGCATCTCGTTACCTAGGCAGCATCAAGATACATACACACACAGCACACAACACACCAACACTGTTTGCCTCCTCTTGCCTGCTCCTCCGAACCTGCACTGACGGCCTTTTGCTGTCAATGTAAGCCCGTCCATCCGGCCTCCGTCTAGAGCTACCAGAGCTAAACCCCCCACGCAGCCGGTGCCTCCCCGCGCTTTTCTTGCTCCAACTAGCTGAGCTAGGCTCATGGGGCCTGTTTCCCCATCCAGCCAGCTTCGTGTCAAGGAAACCAATGTATTAGAAAACGCCAGGCTCTTTTTTAGTGGTTCCCCCTCTTGCTCCTTGCGCTTGGCTCAAAATCGTAGAAACAATAATATGAAATGATATCGAATAAAAAGAATAAGATGAAAAAAGAATCACACATACACACACGCTTTTGTACAATGAGACGCAGCTGGGTATCATAGCAGCGAGGAAGAGACAGGGAAGCAGACAGAGACCAAGTGCTGTCTTAGGAGGAAATGCCGCGGATGATTCTAGCGTTGTTGCCGACAGCGATGGTGAAGGGAGGAACGTCCTGCAGAATATGTTAGACTAGAGTTTCATGATCAGGGAGCGCATGTCGACGACATACCTTGGTGACAACCGCACCGGCCCCAACGGTGCTTCCGCGCCCAATCCTGACGCCTGGCAGGATAATGACTCCTCCACCAATGAAGCAGTCCTCTTCAATGGTGACAGGCTTGCCAAGTTGAGGGCCCCTGCTACCCAAGCGCTTCTTAGGGTCGGTGGGTAGCGTCGCTGCGTAAATGCTCACGTTCGGTCCAATGTGGCAATTGTCGCCAATCTTGACCTCGCAGGTGTCGATGATGGTGCAACTTCGGCCAACAACGACATTTTTCCCAAGAGAGATATTGTACCCATAGTCGCAAGTGAATGGCGCTTCCACAACAACGTCCTCGCCTACTCTTCCAATGTTGGTCACTGGCGATGCAACCGTCGGAGAAATCTGGATAGGGTCGCGAGGTTGCAAAATCTCACGGAACAAGCGGCCTCGCTCGGTTGGTGAGACACCGTTGTTGGGGTTCGTCGAGTTGTTGAATCGCCAACATGCAGCGCTGCACCGTTCACGCTCAAGGACAAGCTCCTTATCAAATGGGTAGTAGAGCTTGCCGGCAAGCATATCCTCCTTGTTCGTCGTCCTAGACCGGCTGGAAGAAAACTGGGTATGCGACAAGGCTAGCTGCGCAGCGACTTGTGCATTGCTAGTTGCTGGAGGCTGCGGGATGGGGCTGTTCGACCTCGTGGGGTGCAGAATATTGATTTGCGGCAGCGTGTTGCCAGGATGAGGCGTCTCCGGTTCCGGCACAGTCCTGCTAATGTCGTGCAACGGGGGCACACGCTGGTAGTCCTTTCTCTCTGAGAAGGGGGCATGAGGAGGCCCTTGGGCACTGATTGGCGTCGGGAAGGCGTTCGCTGGAGTGTAGGGAATGGCGGATAGCTTGGTCTCGGGGCTCGCAACCGATGCACTGGGAATCGTCGAGGCTGTCGGCCGGTCGTCGTCAGTCAGTAGGGGTCGGCCCTGAGGAGGATCTATCCGCAAGGGCTGGCCACGGTAGGGAGGTAATGCCTCTCGTCTTGGTCCGACAGCTGGTTGGCTGCCGTAGGGAGCTTGTTGTGGCATGCCATACGCGCCAGGTGGGACGTAGCTGGGGTCTTTGGACTCCAAGGGGATGGCGGCGGCCTTGCTGTCCGGCTTCTGCCAAGCCGTGTTCCGCTGCGGAGGATATCCTGCACAGACAAAGCCTCCACGAAGACAGTTGCTACCTGGGAAAGGGTTAGCGTTATCACTCAAAGAGAAAAACGAGAAAGATCAGGGCAGCTCCTACATTCCGGCTTCTGCTCATCGCACTTCTTCTTCCTCCTTCGGCACGTAAGACACCCCGTCTTGGTTCGGTTACTGAAGTTTCGTTTTCTCTTCGCCTTGTCGGATTGAAGCATATCACGGGATCCGCCAGGCGTGTAAGAGCCATAGGCCATAGATCGATCATCACCGTCAGGGCTGGTGTTGTCGTAATCATTCGCATCCATCTGGTTGGCGCGTCTCAGAGCCTCCCCAATTTGCTCTTCGGATTGACCTTGGGTAGATGTTGCCGAAGGTTGGTCGTAGTAACCCCTCTCCTCTCTCTCCCTCTCCCTTTCTCTTCCCTCACGTGAATACCATGACTCACCCTGTTCCCTTGAATCTTCGCGTTCAGCGTACGGGCGATGATCGCGCGAGGGCGTTCCATACGGTTCACGTGGTTCTGGTGGGTGAGGCTGAGAGGCAGTCTCAGGGGACTTTTCCTGACGCCCGGGAGCTTCCCGCCTTAGCTCCACTGAGTTTGATCGCTTTCTCTTATGAGAGCCATCAACGTCGGGGTAATTTGCTGTTTGATACGGGGATCTGTCCTGGCTTGGGCCGGCCCAGGGCTCTCTCTGGTTTGGGGAGGGCTCTACGGCGGCTGTTGATTTGGGCTCAGGAAGGGTGGGTTGCCCATTGGTGCGCTCGTCTGACGGGGCTCTACTGGCGTCGGCGGGCGGGTTGGGTGGTTCTGACGTTTTTGGTGAGCCCCCATTGAGGGCAGTAAATGTTGACATGATTTAGAACGGCACCTCACCGGCTCGGAGGTGGAGTGGTGAGAGTCGTTACGTCGCTATGCAGGCGCGTTGGGCCGAGCAAGCGATAGCTGTTGTGCCTTGAAAGAATTGCTGCGCAGATGCAGCAAGCGACCGGCGGCAAGGCTAGTTGACAGACAGTCGTCGCGTGGTGAGTGAAGAGTCGGCGGGGAGCTTCGGCAGAAATGATGTTGACGAAAAGGGTGCGCAGGAGTTCGCGCGCGTCAATGAAAGCCAGAATCAGCAATTCGGGCCGAGCCAAGCTAAGCGGAATGTTGCTCTGGAATAGCTACGGAGCCGCGGAAGGCTCAGCAATAGCTGGAATAGCGTTGGGCTGAAGGTCCGAGGCGAGCGAGCGGCTTTTTGAGACAGGGAGGGCGCCTCGATATCTTCCGGACTTGGAGAGTCTCTTGGGAGAAGATCTTCCGTTAGAGGTCGACGTGGATGAGTAAGAAATGGGGACCTCTTGTCTGGTGTGGTTGAGATCCAAGTCGTTGCTTTGTCGTGGGGGTGGGTAAAGTTTTCTTCTCTTTTTTTTTTTTCCTCTCTCTTTCCTTTCCTCGCGTTACCCCCTGGTCCCTTTCAAAGATCTGCACAAGAGGGGGAAAAAAAAGAGAGTGATGTGGTATCAAGCGCAATGATGACACTCTTTGCTGGTACAAAGTACAGGTGCAGCAGCTGCAGCTGGTAGTGCTGGAACTGGAACTGGAACTGGAACTGGAGCTAGCAGCTGGAGCTGTTGCTGCTTTCTGCCGCCGGTGGTGCTTCGGTACGCGGCGCGCGGAGGTCGCGGGAGCTTGAGCTTTGGACTTTTTTTCTTCCCTTCTTTTTGAGTGGGCGTTGGCGGGGGGAGGGGCGTGGGACAAATAATGGATTGCTGGGCTGTGCGCGCGTGCGTCAGTAAAAAAGGCAAGGTACCTTGTCTTGGGAACGTGCGACAAGGACGAGAGAGCGAGAGCGGTGTCTTGTCCGCTCTGGGGGTGGAACAAGGGCAGAAATTGGTGAAAAAGATGCCGCTGAGACCTGAGGCTGTGCAGCCCTTGGTGTATGAATATGTGTGAGAGAAATTGGATGGGAACAGCCCGACCCAGCGTCCCGGCCTGTACGGATGCTCGACGCCGTCAAGAGAGTTTCTGCCCTTGCCTTGTTTGGTCTTTGGGCGGCAGATGAAGGAGAGAAGAAACGCAGATGCAAAAAGGTGGGAGCGAACATTGGGCAGCAGACATGTTAGAAATTCACTCACTTTTTTTTTGTTGCTGCTCTCATGAGATATCCCTATTGGGATGTTGTCTGGAGTTTTGCTGCCTTGACAACAACTCGACTTGAGAGTTGTGTGTACTGTGTAGTACTGCTGGCTATGTTTGCTCGCGGTAATCCAGGATTGCTACAGCCTTGGATCCGACACGAGGAAACGAGCTAAGAGTGCCCGTAGATACGACGTTCTGTCTGCGTTGGAGAAGAAGTAGGTGCTCCAGATGAAATCGGCCTTTGGAGCAGTCCAGCGCATGCGTGGTCTTGGTTCGGCCAACGGGGTTCGTATTGCGGTTGCGTCCGGCCAGGGATGACAATGAAGATGACGATGGGGACGCCCAAAGTCGAAATTGGGATCTAATGTAGACAGCGAGCTCCGCAATTTGCTCGCAATTTGCCGTGCTGATGGTAGTTGGATGGTTGTCCGTACCGAAAGAGATGATGATAGTGGTAAGATGTGTGTGTATTGTGAGTGTGTGTATGAGACGGAAGCAGGCAAATGAATATTCGCGCCTGCGATTCGGTGTGTCGCCTGCGAGGAAGCAGAGTATCAAAGGAACCAAAGGGGAAACTGCGCCGGCGTTGTTCTCCTCAAAGGTACCGTGCGCCTCTCTCTATCACTCTCGTCTTCTCTTTCCCCAAGTAGAGAAAGATGTGAGAATCAGAAGGGTGAGAATAGAGTATTAGTCCAGCTTTCTGCCGTTGCCCTTGTGTCCAATTGTTCAAGGACCGTCTCTTCCTTTCTCCCCGTCTCAAGGGTTTGTCCGAGTCGAGGGATGATGGCTGCTTTGTATGGCGGCGCTTGAGCGTTTTTTGACGCGCGATTATGCTGCGCCTGTTCGGGGGGTGGAACACTGAAGAGTGAGGAGACAATTTCCCACTGGACGTCGCGAGCCACTGAGGTCGGGTGAGGTGACTTGGGACTGTAACGCGACTCGGATTGCAATTTGTTCCACTAAACCCGGTATGAATGCCAGTTCAAGTCAAGAATGCTGGGCGAGTAGGGATATCCGCTTGTATCAATGCTCGAACCTTGCCTGCCGCGCGCCGTTTGCCCTTGGGGTGAAGAGAGTGGACGTGCAAAGTGTAATGAATCTGCCCTGCCTGATGAGTTAGGCTGCGTGACTGTGTGGAGGAAGTAGTTTTGGTGGTGTCGGATGTTGACGGGTGGGATGGGCGAAAGGGTGAGATGACAAGAAAGTGTAAGTGTGACGAAGGGGGGGCAGAGGGTAGGGAATATGTTCATATCATGTGGAAGTGGAAGTGGAAGTGGTAGTGGTAGCGAACCTCGAGTGTGAAGTGAAAGTGGTGGTCGGGGTCGCGGTCGTGTCTTGGTATCTATTTGTTTCGAGGTACCTTTACTTACTCCGTACTCTTTCTCTCACTCTCACACACACTCTCTCTCTCGTGTGCGCGCTCTGCCTCTGTCGTATCCGTACTCCGTTCGTAGTGCACCTACTCCGATGAACTGTAGAATGTATCCGTAGAAGTGTCTGGCATCTGTAGCCGCAGCCTTAGTTCGTCCCCGTAGCCGTCGTGGTGGGCAAGGAAAGCAAGGCAAGTCAAGGTACGAACCAGTCGTTGACAAGCCGGCACTGTCGAAAGTCTGTAGGCGAGCCAAGGGCTACCCTTGATAGTACGGGAACCAGCCAGCCTTTTTCTTTTTCTCTCTTTTTTTTTCTTTCCTCCCGCTGTAACGCGCTCACTCGCCAAAGCTCAACTCCAATGGCCGAATAATTAGAAAGAAGGGTCTCTGTGTATCTGTCGTCCGTACTCAACGTCCACGCTGGGCTGCGACCGAAATTGCAAGGGAACGAGAAATACCTCTCGGGGTAACAGGGACGACACGAGGGTCTCGGCGGGTGCCTCGTTACTTTTGTATCCTGTACGGATCAAGAGAAAGAGAGCACAGAATCTCTCCAAACAAAAAGTACTCAGAGTGTGGCCTCATTCATTTTCTTCTTGGTCCTGGTTCCCTTCTCCCGCGAAATCCCACTTGTGTGCTGCATCCACACATGGAGCCCCCTCCTCTCGCTCGCCTTTCACTCTTTCTCTCACTCTGTGTGTGTGTGCAAGTGTTGGTCTGAACATGCAAGAGGCATCCAAATCGCCTCTCTTCACCTTCTCTCCTACCTGGGTCATACATACGGATCCATTCCTCCCAGACACCCCAGTCCTTCGTCGCTAAACCCGGGAAACACGAACAGCATTGGGTCGCGGCATGGCGCTTCCCACGGGTACTCGACCGCCACAAAGTACTCGCGCGATACTGCTGCCAGTAACCACTTGCGTTTGTCGTCGCTTCCACGGCCACCAGCTGGGACCCCTGGCGAGGCATGAACAAGGGCGGGGGGATGGTAGGCAGAAAGGAGGGGGCGTGTCGACAGGCCATTGGAGACTTGGGGAGAGGGCGTGAGCCACAACCTCTGCAACCCGTGTCTGGTCACTCCAGCTGTACGTACAACTCAACTGAACTGTGCTTGACGGTAGGTCGACCTGGGCTAGCCGGGCCTGAACTGGGATATGCCCGCCGTGCTTGTGCCCATCGCCGTCCCTGCTCGCCTTGCCTCCATCCCCAAATCGAGCTTCCCCGTGAGTCCAAGGCCGTTGCCCTTCCAAGCCGTGGAATGGCGAGTACGTCCTTTCTCTCAGCAACCCTTTCCTCATCATCCATAGGCTCAATGTCATGAGCGAGAGTCAATTTGAATATGTCCACCAACTATTTTCCGTGTTGCGGTGATTGGTCTCCAGGTTACAAGGGTTGGCACACACCATCATCTCGCGGGCCTCACCGGCCACATCGCCCACCTCCCCACGATGCGATATTGGGCTAAATGATGCATAATGGCAGAGTCCTGTATCTGTACAGGAAAGTATGGTAGCGTGCACGTACGTACACATGTATGCTTGATAATACGTCTCTTAACCTCTGCCACGTGATGGGGGAGGTTGAGGGAGGGATCTGCCATCTCCCCCCCCCCCCCTTTTGAAGGCTACCGGCGCATGGCAAGGTGTGTTTTTGGCCCCCGCTCTGCCGCGGCCGTGAGCCGTCGTCATTTCCAGTGTCTCCAGAGTTTGGGGGCAGGAAACAAGCGACCGCCCTGACAAGAGCCGCCGGCTGCTTTCGCCAAAGACGCAAGGACTCACTTCCAGCTTGACAATGACCCGGGCCTATGATTTCGCCAGCGGCCAGCCTGCACCCGCTAGCCCTGTCAACCTTGACATGCTCGTCGCCCGTCACCGTCCCGGTCAAATCGTCAGCATGCCGCCTCGACTCCACCGTCCCAAGATTTGTACAACTTGACCGACTGTCGTTGCCTGAGCAGAGCGTTCCAGACAGTTAGACACTCTCGCGGTTCACCAAGAAGGCCCCTCGCGCATCCGGAGACGCTGCCCGCCTGTAGCGTTACACTGGTTTCCACTTGTCGCTCTCACGAAGCTTGACCCTCGCTGTAACCCTTTTGACCGCTGTTTGGCCGGGGTTGAATTATCAGTTGTGCCGTGCCGCAGAAAATTGACACCAGGGTCTCCCACGTTTCTCAAGTCTGGCAGGAAACGGCTTTGATACGTTCAGGAAGGTGAAGAAAACAAAGCCTGAGGCCTAGGTGTCGCTTGGTCCACCAGGTCCGGACCAAGCACCCCAGCCATCGCTATAAGACGCAGGACGACCGCCCTCGGTGCAGAAGCAATCCCGGTCGAACCTTTGGTCCCTTCATCCGCTCATGTCTTCAAAAATAGCACATGGCCACGCGGTAGTCCATGTCAAACGGGGTCTCGTCCTCGTCATAGTGGCCGCAGTTGGTTTTGACTCGGGATGGAGCAGTGGTACAGCGGCTGTTTCGGAGTGTTGAGGACCTTCATTACCGTGTGCAACAATGACCCTTCTGACGATAAGTACTCAGATTGGACGGAGGTTCACTCTGAACGGGAAAATAGTGTGAACATCCGCCAACCAGACCGAGCTATCAGCGAAATTGCCTCGTACCCCCCGGCGCAGGGTAGTAGTGGTGAGGTGAGAGCGAGCATTGCCGGCGGATGCGGTTGATCATCATTATGTAGCAACCAATGGAGCTGTCAGGATGTAGTCCCCGTGTCATGCAGTTTGACGCGATCAGTGACATCTTCTCTTCTCTTCCCCTTCTCTGCGAGCCCACTTCCCTTCGCCGCGTCTAAAAAGCACGCTCAGCGTCGTAGCTAGACCCTCAAGTGTGACGCCAACGTCGGGTATCGTCGTCAACAACCAGGCTTAGCTGGCTGTGGCTCGTATTGTCACCCCGTTCGATTGCAATTTGCAGCCGCCAACTGGGCTAGCAAACGCGGCAGTGCAACAAGTCAACCGTCTAGCAGGTTTGGGTGTCGAGTTGGCGTGAGATTAGTGACGGGATAGTACCATTTCCGCGTCCGCGCTGAGCCGTGTCTCGGCCCTTGGCTCATTTCTTCAGCGTGACAACCAGTCGCGGAGGACTTTGACTTGAGTCGATTTCTGAGGTATCCGTACGCAACAGCACCGTCTGCACCGCTCATCTCTAGGTGGCATTCTCTGTGCGCGGGTGTCTCCCGGGGTGTAGCGACCCTGTAGGGTTGCAATCACTAGTAACACTCCATGCGTTTGTCGTAACAATCTGGCCGCGCATTTGTCCGGTCGCGGCAGCGCATGCGCCAGTCTTGTTCCGGAAACAGCTACCTACGAAATATAGATCGCGGCTGCCAATCTCCTTGCTCCTTAATCGGGGTGATGACTTGTCTCGGGGATCAGATACCTGGACTGAGTGATGGGTGTTCCTGTCGAGACTTGAGAGATGGACGGGGACGGTCTGGATGTGCGGCACAGAGCCCAGGTGAAGTGAGTTCGGCGATAGCACTTAGAGAAAGTGACCGAAGTGACTGTCCCATCTTGTTTTTCCCAGGTTCCCTTTACATTCAAGGCTGGTGGTGGACTGGTGGTGTCTGCTCTCGTTCCTCTGACGGGGCAGGGGTGAAACAAAAACGTTAATCTTCCGATGTAGATGGACCAGGATACAGCCCAAGGTGGATTATTTTTAGCCGTGCAATCCTGAGTGGGACTGGGAGGGCAACTTGACTTTCAGTCTGCGTTGATGGGCTTATTTACCCCAGCTTTGCCCGGGACTGATCCGCTCGTCTCGTCTCGTCTCGTCGTGTTGTCGCGTATGTGAGGGCAAGGCGTTGGAAGAGAAGGCATTGTGTCGTCGGCTCTGACGGCGGTCAAAGTGTTTCCAGACCAAAAGGTATTGCAAGTAGTTGCATCCCTTCCTTTACATTGTGCGTAGCGCTTGTCGCAGAGCGGGTGTGCGAAAAGAAAAGAGAAAAAAGCGCGGAGGCGTCCGAATCGACCCTCCCACCCGCACCAGCGTCGCCCTCCGCTCCTCGCCCGGGTATATTTACCGCCGCGACCCACTCACACCTACCGTGATGGCAGCTAAGCGGCATCACTGGTCTGATTGGTTCGCGACAAATCGATATGCAGCCAACGAGAAGCCCTGATGTGCGGGAGGAGGAGAGTTGAGTAACAGGGCGGTTCGATTCGACACATGCGCTGTGACGAGACAGACGAGACTTTCTCGACGGCGCGACTTGCCCAATCTTCGGCAGTCCAATATTAGCAACCGGGACTACGCTGGCCCGTCGGTTTCGTTCCATGAGATGTTGTTGCTCGAGGTGAGATGTCATGGGTTCTTCGCGATATGGCGTAGAGTTTGACTCGATGGTGAACTCCTTCACATCCTGCTTAGATCAGAGGGATTGTGATGTGCGCTGCATTGGTCGGAGAATCATGCGGCTATCACGATTTCGCCGCACAAGTGCTGACATCTTGTCACACCCAGGCGCACAAGCGCACACCTCCTTCACCGTCTATTGCGCATATCAAAAGGTAAGGCATAATGATCTTTGGCCATCAGATTCAGGAGGAAACCAAGTCAGAAATGTGGACGGCCTGCAGCTGGCTGGCTTCCCAACTCGACGTTGCAGACGGAGTTATGTTCATGCTTAGTCGTTGTAGCTTTGACCAGGTGCCTAGAGATATCACCCGACTCATGTACTTAGTAGCAGACGCTCTCCTCGAGGTATAAGCTAAGTTCCTCTAGAAAGCCTCGGCTTGCGTCTATCGACGTGACGAATCACGATACTGTCTCGAAGTTAAGTATGCAATTGATAAGACTCGTAGCCGTATGCGTACGAACTTGGCCTTGGTGGAGCTCGTGAGTCCTTTGCCTGGTCGCTCGGTAATGAAGAAAGCCTAACCAGAAATTGCGGGAATGTCGTCTCGTGGGGCCGGCCGGAGCGAGAAGCACGAGGGGCGAAATGGAAGACGTTTGAGAGCATCAGCACAATGGTGCAATGTGTTTGCCGTATGGGGGTTCCCACTCCGGGACTGTGTCTGGTTGACCGTTGTTCATCTGTGTGACAGTATCCGCTGTAGCATCGAAAGATCAGACAAATGCGGAATGACCACCGCGATGTGGAGCACGGAAGAAAGGCAACGGTAGCAAACAGTGCAGAACCTCTGGGCCGCCAGCCGAACTGCTATTCGTGTTAGGAGGCCGTCTCGCCAGATCCAAAATGAATTGACACGGCCGACGCGTCGAGTGTCATGGCAAATGCGGCACATCTTGGTCTCCTCCGACGTAGTAGGCAGGGGCGACTTTGGGCGAGCGGGGATGAAAGGCGCAGGATCAAGAGTTGAAATGGAGCAAAATCGAGGACCGAGGTTGCAGGGAGCTGCGAGAGCGGCGAGTCCAAGAGGGAACCTTGGTAAAGCAAACAAAAGCGGGGCGACGGGATTCGAGAACGAGAGAAGTCAGGGACTCAGGTATTCTTTTGCAGTCGAGAATTAAGACCCTGGTCCGTCGTCTGTAGCATTGTGCCGTCACCAACTGATCAGGGATTGTGGAGGTGAGATAAACTGTGACAATAAAGTAGGGTAAGCAGAGGCAGGGGTAAAGGGGCATGGCAGCATAGGTGTACATACTTGTCGACCTATGGCGGGAGCCGAGACAGAGTGCCAGAGTGGTGGACGGCCGGCCAGACGTCGGTTGAGTGTGTTGGATGTGACGGCGATACATAGCAGGCAGGTCAACAGTTAGGTGGCTAGAGTAAGATTGACTGCGGTATGAGAAAATGAGGGGGACTGTATGGACCAAGATTCGAGGCCGGCTCGGGGAAGGCGAGAGCTGGAAACAAGACGGCGCCTGGATGGGATTGTGTTGATTCTTGTTTAGGTAGTCGTCGTCCGCAAGAGACGTATCGTCCCATCCAATGTCCTGCACGATGTTGCTATTCCTGGCCATTGACGACGAACGGCGTTCGATTTCAGCAGACGATTGAGGGATGCGGACCAGAATTTGCAGAAATGTCAGGCCTACCACATTTCTATGGAGATGCTTAGCTTGTGGTTGGTCCAAAGCCGCCGAAACGAAGTTGGGAAATGTGTCTCATTTGCGATAGCAGCCCGATGGGGCGGCAGCATTTGCTGAAAGGGAACAGAAAGCGTCCAAAGTGACTCATGAGAGAGTGCGCGAGAGAGAGAGAGTGAGAGTGAGAGAGTCTCGGTGTCTTGGGAGACGAGGGTCTGGCAAATAATCTGACGGGACAGAATGGAGGGTCGCACAGGCGCGATGAACGATTCGGCACCGTCGAGAAAAATCCTTGACGTTGGCGAGAGCAATGGAACATTGGGACTGGGCCTGCAGTTGTTGGTTCTTTACGGGCGACGGAACATCCGCAGTTTGGGGGCTACCGAGCCCGCTTACCGCAGTAGAGATTCAAGCGCGCTGACAGGGGGAGGGGCCTTCCATGTCAGGAACCTATCCGTACTGCCCCGTTCACAGCTCCTATTGACGGAAGGACCCAGGTACCTGCCCACCTGCCCAACCGCCAGCTGGAGCACCCGTAAAAGCGGCAGGAGGTATCCGAATCGTCGACCTGCTCACCTCACCCACTGACAACTTGCCTGTGCAGGCATGAGCCTACCTTAAGCACCCGGCCTGTTTTCTACCTACCCTATTCTGCCGCCTCTGATCTGTTCCTTCCCCAGGCTCCCATCAGGATGACTACCTGTTGCGAGACTCCCGCAGTAAAAGGCACCTCCACAGATTAACTGCTCGGCCCGCGACTGCCTAGAAGGCACTCTACCTACTTTGGCAAGGATAGGTACCCAGGCAGTACTAAGGTATCTTGCCTTAGTCATCCGCAACTCGATGCAAACCATGGCTTCTTCAACTTCACAAGCGTAGGGAAGGAGTGCCCTGTCTGTTGTGTCGTCGATCCAATCTCTTCCACCGCAAACTACGGATACCTTAATCTTCATTGTCCTCGATCATCGCAGCCTTTGTGAAAACAACTGAGCCCTGGCCTTGGGAGATTGTGCCATTCAGGTGGATACACTGGCTCTCTTGTTCGGTTTCAACTTTCGAGCAAAAGTCTACTACCTAAGTACTTAATCACGTGGCCAATTAAATGGTGAGCATGGACAGGCTCTCGACTTCCCGTCAACCTCCTCGCAACTTCACCACATCACGCCTCATATCTCTCTGCCATATCTCTTCAGACGTCATCTTCAAACTCATTGTCGTCCAAGAGATGACCCTTATTGTCAGAAATACCGACGTGTTTCTAATCTTAGAAGTGTCAAGATCTCCGCCATGCACAACATCGCAGCTCCATCACACAAACCCTTACACCAGCTTGGCTTGCAGCCAATGGTGTCGCTCGACTCCAACTAAGCGCCCACTCATAAGCGCTCCCTCATTCTCCTCGCAAACGACAACGTTAAACTCCACGTTGCTGACTGCCCTTCTTCTAGAAAAATTCTCTTCCACCACATGGCATGGCAGTCTCCTCAAACCCATGAATTTCTACACTTTCGAGGCGCCTAGGACTCTAATAATAACTACCGGACCCAACAGCAAGTTCCGCTCCTGGTCCTGGTATCTCTGGCCGAGCGAGCGGCCTGCAGATCTCCCACTCCGCAAAGGCCTGACTACAACCCACTCCCCGTATCCGCGCTGTGCGACATACGCGCCGGACGAGTAGCTACATATCTAGATTTCTAGTTTTCTCACCCTGCAAGGTACGCAAGCGACCATACATCCCGCGCTCTCTAGCATGACGACAGCCTCTCAACGAACCGACGCCCAGGATACCCAAGGCAAGAAACGGAGCCGAGCCCATTGTTTCCTGGCGTCACGCCGACGCCTCTTGCTCTGAACCTCGTCTAACCTCCCTCTCCATACGTATGAAACTCTTCTTCCCTTGCAGGCAAGATCTCGAGATTGCCAATTAGGTCCCTTACGCGGCCACCGCTTAACCTTGACGGCCTTCCACTCACACCCCCATCCGTGGCCACAGAAAAACCAGGACCCTTGAAATCGGTAGAAGCACGATCGTGGCACGAAGACCTTCACCGACATCATCTCGATTGGCCTCCAATCATTGGGCTAGCCAGTCTCGTCACAGGCGTGTTCGGAGATCTAAAGGGCCCTGGCAGCCTCGTGCGTTCATAAACCCCCCTTTCACCCTTCCAGCAAACTACATGACCCGGTTCCAAGGCAAGCGGCATGCCATGATCAGTCACCTTTCCCAACCGTAACCGCTCTCCACGTCGATATTTTTAGCTGCCGTTGCTATATTAAGATGATTAGCCTCACCTGCAGCCGCCTATGAGCTGCATCTTGCTTAATGAGACGTCACGTCCTGCGTTGAACTTCATGGGTTGCCCTACACCGAAGGGTCCCTTATCTCTCGTAACCACCTCTTTCACGCCGCAATCGTAATTGTAAAAGAAACGAACTGCAGAGACTTATTCCATTTCTCCCCTTTTGAGTTGTCAAAATTTTCCTCCGTACTCCGTACCCCTGGCATGATATCGTTGTAACAGCAACAGCAACTTACACGATGTCCAAACAAACGTGTAAGCGCGGGGCGAAACCGACAAGGTTACCTCGAGATGCAGCATCTTGGTATTGCCCACCGCCAGTCTCTGGTTCTTTTGCATTCCTATCGGCGTTTTTTTTTTCTTGTTTCATGACCCTCCTTTCCTATTGCTACCTCATCCCACTACGACAAGGGCGTATCATCTAGACATGGGCACATCTTCCAGAGATACCCCCGGTCACATCGCACACGTGAAGCAAAGATACCTAGCAACGTCAGGCAAAAGCAGCAGTCCTGTTTCTCATATTCCTTGTTTCATGCTTTTGTACATGTTTTCCCACTAACTCCAGACATACTCCGTAGAGGCGGCGGCTTTTCCCGCGTCACTCTGCCTCGATACCTAAACCGCACCCAATGAACTTTACCCACACTCCCAAGTCCTGGTTCCAAAACATTGCCGCGGCCCTATTGACCAATAGTCCATACACCGACAGTTCGCGCTCGCGTTCCCCTTCACGTCCCCCCGGTCTAAGAGGAAGGGGGATGGTTGGTCATGCGCGGAGATGACTCCTTCGAGGTTCAATCTCAATTGTGTGTGTGATTATACATATCGTAAGGCACTTCATCCATCTTCGTCCACGGCGCGTAGCGCCTTGCGTAGCGAGAAGGCAAAGTACCTGGTTGTCTGACGGTACTTTGACGGTACATGACCTTCACTTGCTTCACTTCTTCTGCCTCTTGGCATTCTTCTCCTCGCCTCCGGCGCTCATGACGCTGGCGCTCCGTTTATGTGTTGCCCCACTGCTCCCCGGCCGCGCCGACTTTTCCTTCTCCACGTCCCCCTTGCCCTCCTCCGTCGCGGCCGGCGCAGCAGCTGCTGCAGCAGCCTTATCCCCATCCGCAGCGGGAGTTGCTTCCCCACCGCCGGCGTCTCCGTTGGTTTTAGGTTCATCATCCTTGGAGGGCTCGGCGGCAGCTTTAGGTTCGGCGTTTGCCTCGCCTTCGCCTTCGCCCTCGCCCCCTGCGGTGGTCTTGTCCTTCTTCTCTTCCGTAGACTGGGCTTGGCCATCGCCTTCCTTCTTCTCAGCAGCTGGATCCGGCTCTGGCTGGTTCGCCTTCTCGCGCTCCGCCTTTTTGGCTAGCTCGAGCTTGATCTCGGCGTCAATCTTGTCCGTGACCTTTCTAGCATCAAGCAGACTGTTGACGGCGCCGAGCAGGAGCTCGTATTGGGCTGTCACCGGTGCTGTCGGCATAACCAGCCTTGGCGGGATGTCGAGCTCGTTAAGCGTGTTCATGATGCGCAGTTGCTGCTGGTTCGACTTGTGTGTGAAGAGCTTATTGATCTTCTCGTAGCGGAACGTTGGTCCGCTGGACAGGCGGTCGTGGTGCGTGACACCGTAGACATGCATCTCGGCATCGTTGAGCTTGCGGCGTTCCTGCTGCTGCTGTCCCTTCTTCCCGCCTGCCGGTGCCGTCGGCGTCTGCGCGACGCTGCTGGGAGGTTCCTTGTGTGTTTTCTCCGCCGGGGTCGCAGCCGCCGCAGCAGCGATGCTCTCGCGGCGGTCTTTGGTGTCTGTTGACGCGGCGGTCGCTGTCGCTGCAGCCGCGGGCTGTTGACCCGCGGGCGCGGAGGGGCTGACGCCGTCCGCTGCCATGAGCGACTTCCGCTTTTTAGACTTGTCGGCATTCATCAGGTTCTGCAGGAGAGTTTGTAACCCAGCACTGGACTTGAACGCGCTGATGTCCTGGTCAGTGTGTGGGTAATCCAGACGGTTGTAGAGCTCCCGACGCTCCTCGTTGAAACGGTCACTGCGCGCGAGGATGCGCTTGATCTCCAACAGTAGTGATTCCTCTTCCTTGGCTTCCTCCTTGCTTCGGGTAAGCGCGTTGTTGGCGAAATCCTTGCGCTGTTTCTCCTGATTGGCGTTGAAGTTGGCCATGAGCTCGTGGAGGGTGTACTCGGGTTGCGTCATATACTGAACGGGCTTCTGCACCGCCATCATCTTTGCCGCAACGTCGTAGTAGCGCGCTTTGAGGTCCTCCATCGTCCTTGGCTTCGGCACAGGGATGATAGCCTTACTTTCGTCCCCGTCTGCCGACGCCTCTCCGTTGATTGCTTCTGGCAAATAGTCGTATCGGTCCCATATGATCGGCCACCGTAGGTCAAAGTCCTTCACCAGCCCAAGCAGGTAATCTGTTTCCTCCTTGCTCCAGTCGTCGTTCTGCAGGTTCGTCCGGTACTGGTCTTCGCTGTACTGCGGCACATCCACCTCCACGTTGAACTTCGCAAACATCGAGTTCTCGGGCTTAGCCGCCGCCTGCTCTCCTTCAGCATCCTTCATTTCGGCGTCACCGCTTTGATGCCCATTTTCCGTAGCCGTCGGTGTCTTGCGTTTCCAGTGCTTCAGCACTAATGCGCCGCTGTCGCCCCGTGCCGAGTTTGTGAAGGGCTTAAGTTCCCATTTTGTCGCCGGTTTCCTGCTTGCGAATCGCCGCTTCTTGAAGATCGATACCTCGGGAACGATGGCGATTGGGTTGTCACCGCCCAAATTCTGAACCTCACGAGCGAGACCCTTAAGATTCGGGCGTGCGCCGGATGTCTTTTGTTTCTTCGCGGGTCGGGGGCCTGCTTGGCTGTCGGGGAGATTGAGGACATCTCGCACATCGGAGGACGTCATTCTCGCGGTTGGTAGGGAGGAAGAGGTATTGGCTGGAAAGTAGTTGCGATGCTGCGCGACCGGTCGGAAGGGCGGATTTTAATTTTCGATTGACGATTGCCACTAGTCTGCTCGATGGCATCAATTTATCGCTGGGTTGTACG